CAATCAAACTGTATTTCTTTAGCACTAATCGTGCAAAAAAATTGTAATACATAGTCCTTTATAGACATGAACAATAAAAGTGAAATTGTAGGAAAAATAAAATCACGTAACAAATTTCTAGCAAAGACAATAAAAATAGCACATTAGAACATCGTAATAAAAAAGTGTAAAAAAGTTTATTTATTTTAAAAGTGCTGAATGATTCTGAAGCCCTCAGATCCCCTGGCAGGCTGTTTCACAGGTGAGGACTGTAAACACTAACAGCCGCTTCTCCCGAGGGTTTGGTCCTGGACTTTGGGACGACTAAAAGACCAGTACCAGCGGATCTGAGGGATCTTGTTGGTTCATATCTAAAAAGCATGGAAGACATGTATACAGGTGGCAGACCTTTCAACGACTTAAAAACCAATAGAATATTTTTTTAAATAAATAATTTGACTGACTGGCAGCCAGTGCAAGGATCGTAAAATGGGTGTTATGTGGGTGCTCTTTCTGGTTTGCGTCAGAACACGTGCCGCTGCATTCTGAATTGGTTACAATTTACTTATTAATTTATTCGGAAGACCAGAAAGAAGAGCATTACAATGAAGGGTAACGTAGCGATTTACCCAAATCATAACGTTTTAAATCAGTGCTTACAAGCCGCCATAACATTTGGTTCAGAAACACGCTCATCAACGAAAGACGACTTATCGAACAAAGACTGGAGAGTTGTGCAAAGAAGAATGGAGACGAATGCTTGGAATTACGTGGAGAGTCAGAAAGAGGAGCACGTGGAATAGAGAACGCACGCTGGTTGATGGCATCGTCCAAACCACGAGGAAAATCGTGGCCTTGTGCAGAACGCACCACACGCGTGGGCACCGAGTGGACTCGTGAACTGCACCGGCCGGCTGGGCTCCGTACAGATGGATTCACTCACGAGATGGGGCACGGCAGCCGGGCAGTCTTGCCCATTACCCGGCTCCCAGTTTACTCATCGAAAATGTAGGCGACCCGATTTATGAATGTCAGGTTCGCAACCGTTGCACAACACTGTAATTTAGCAAGGCCATAGTGATCTTAAAGGTATTATGTACAGGTAGGATTCCTGTAGAGTACAACGGTTTAGCACCTTAAAAAACACAAACAATAAACTACAATGAGCCACTGCGAACAATCCAAACGAGCGGCAGGAGGATATTGTAAACGTGAATTGCCCTGCAAATTGTTTCCCGGTTGCTTCGCGTGGACACGTCGGATTGCCCCATCAGCCCCCAGAGGCTGAGCGCTGCTTCCCGGCACGGCGCCGGGACTCTCCCAGCCGCTGCTTTGCGTCTCCGCGCGCCCACTCCCACAGACGCAACAACGCAGCAAAAGTTGCGCGAGCAAGTGCAAGAGCCGCTCTCAGCCTCTTCGTCCAGACCACCAGCTCACAAAAATAACGAATGGCCATTTGGACGTCTAGTCCACCGACTAAAAAAGTTGGTAAAATGTGGCCGTCCCAACAGGCAGCAGTGAAATGGGCAACTATCGACCGGTTTCGTCTTCCTTAGGACTCATCGTGCCTCTCGGAGCTGCGTATATGGAGAGGACTCGTATACCTTTATACTCTGGGGTCACTTTGGCTAGCACCTGGCTCAAGGAAACAATTCACACCTGTAAATGACAGTTTAGGGTTGACCACTCTCTACTGGGGAGAGAGTGTGTGGAGTCGGTAGCGAGTTCCTTTCTCGAGACGGTGCTGGTGTCCCGACTGTCTGTCGGGGTGGAAAGGAGCTCGCATTGAGGGCTTTGGCCGGTTCCCGCATGAGGTGCAACTTTAGGTTTGGGATTGAGAGCTGCTCGTGGGATAGTGTTGTATATGTGTGTGAAAATTGATGAAAAAATAATGAAAATAAATGAAATTTGAAATGCACATAATTAATCCGAAATTATGTTAATTTGCGTAATTATGCGTATTAATTATGCTAATTTCGAGAGGTAATCGTATTAATTTATACGAATGGGTGTGGTTATGTGAATGATAGCCTTTATGATAATCAGGCCCCGCCTCATTGACGAGGTGGTGTTATCAATCGGGATAATGCAATCAATCGTATGCAGTTATGGTAGTGTCAACTTGGCTTCGTTGTCTAACTTCGTATTATCGATCAGTATAATACAATGATTCTCGCTTTGCCATTCATTGAATGGAGTAGTGTGTTTATGTTTTAGGTCCCAAGTTCATATCTCATCGCAGGATACAGATCTTATGCAAAAATTTCAGGAAAGAATCACACGACCACTTCTGTATTAATCAATTTATTTATAATGAAACCTTAAATATAATATCGTATGTGAACTCTCAATCTCGGAACTTCAACACGGTATCAATACAGTATCATCGACTGTACGATTTCACTTTGACAACGGCACATGGATCCCGCATAACGCAATTGTTGTTAGGCATCCCTTGTATGAAAAGTATACTCGCTCCCTGTAGAGCGGTGAGGGTGCGTGGGGGTGTGTGTGTGTATCATACGGACAGCTCGGCACTCCCTCTCTCACACCGCGGCCACAGTTTCTGTCCACAGCTGGCTGGAAGAGTCGGCACGACGCTCGCCGTCGGCGCGCCGGTGGGTGTTGAGTGCGGGCACGCTGCCCTCTCCTGCTGCTGCTCGAACGCTCTCAGCGCTGGTGGCGCGCGGTGGCGCGGAGTGGCGCTGGTGGCGCACAGTGGCGCGGAGTGGCGCGCGCTGGCGCTGGTGGCGCGCGCTCCCTCTCCTTGAAGATGCTCAAAGGCGCTCGTGCTGGTTCGCTGACAGCAGTTTCTCTCCGCTGCTGGATGAGCTGCATCAGCACGCTCCCTCTCCTTGAAGATACGCGAACGCTCTCGTGCGGGTTTGCAGAAGCTCTTGCTTGGTGCGTCGGTCGCGCTGCAGCTGGACTCAATGTAGAATAAACTTTCAGCGATACTCTGTCTTTCAGCTCTTTGAAATCACACTCGGTGGCGCCTCACTACCCTGCGAGTATTGCCATCGTCAGTGAGTAGCGACGGGTCCCCTTTGGCCTCCGCTCGCCGCCACTTGCTCTGCAGCTCGCCGGCTGGCGACCTGTTGCTCTCGTTCCCGGTTTGAACTGCTGATGAGTCGAGCCGACCCGCTGGTCGAACTCGCTCCTGAGCCGACCCACTGGTCGAACTCCTCCGAGTTCTGACCCACCGGTCGAACTCTCTGGTGAGTTGACCCCCCCCCCCCCCCTTGTCGAACTGAGGTTTCAATGCTGCAGGGTCCTCTCTTTATGCCAAAAATCCCTTCACTTGGATCCTGCCCACAAGGCGGGGCTTCTTTCGATTTTGCTGTGTCATGATCTGTCCGTATGTGTGTGTGTCCGTACGTGTGTCAGTGTGTGTCCTTGTGTGCATCACCCCTGGCATATTCCCGCTGTCACGCTCCTTTCATAAAACACCAAAAGTAAAACAACCAGACATTACAAATTGTCTCGAAGGCGTCTCTTGGTCTGCCGCTCTGTCTGCCGGCACTAGAGGGCAAGCTTTCCTCCCTATATGTCATGTCCCTGACACCAAGGAATGGTTAAAAAGTTTTAAGTTAACATTTCATTTCATCACAGTTCCACAGTTATGATTCTGTATGTTTCCTTTGTGGTGTTTGACTTATGTCAAGGGAAAGTGTTTTCCCGAGCGTATACCACACTCCTACCCTGCGCTGCGGAGAGACAAAGACGGCCGGGATCTCCCTTCCTCTCCGACCCTGGGTTTAACATCGCCCAAGTCAAGCAGTTTATGTTTGTGTAAGCTTAGTATAGTTCACGGTGAATAGCGCGAACATGTTATGTAGGAAATAATGCATTGTTAATTTTTACTTAAAACTGGCTAGGGTTTTTTCTGACACGCCGACATTCCAAGCCCCCGCCCTTATTCCTGCTCGCACGATGTCTGCCAACCTTTGTCCTCATTTTCTCTGCTCGCCCGTTGTTGTCAGGCTTTTTTACTGACGCCGCCAATGCAAGGCCTCATTCATTTTCGTCACTGTGGTGAGGGAGTGTCAACCTTGGAGTCAGTTCTGGTTTTCGTCTGCCTGCTTCAGCACTTGGTCTGTGACCTCTGACCCCGGTAGTTATTATTTATTTAATTCCCTGGCACTTCTCTGACCTGCACATGCTGTTGCTGAGGGGCTTCGGACTATTTTTATTCATTGTTAAAAAAAACTATAGAAATATGTATCTATATGTATCGAAAAATTACTTGTTAATATTAAGATGGAAAAGGCATATATACAACAATAGGTCGCTCCGAGTTGCACTGGTACAATCTGGAAGGTCTGAGCCGCTCTTCAGTCCCTTTGATAACTTTGATTGTGGCATTTCTTTACAGCTTCTCTAACCCAATTGAAATGTGAATTGGGTCCAACAACGCATCCCTAAGTGATAATGCTGAGCATAGTTTCATTGTCCTTCCTGCAGCAGTTCTACCCATAATGCAACGTGCCAGCTGTATCATTTTGCTCTTCATACAAATTTGTTTCATAACACAGTTTTGATTTTTTAAGGGTGTGTCTGTTACTCAGTAGCTACTAATTGGTAACTATTCATATGCCAGTTTAAAAACTGGGTGTATGAAAATATTTAAAAATTATATTTCTTCTTGATTTGGAGCTTTCGTGACTGCAGGAATTCATACTCTTTGGTTCTTTCGTTAAAGTTATGTAGATAGAAAAAAATAACTAATAAATCACGGCGTTTCGAAAGCAACAAGCCATCGTCTTCGGGTGAAAAAATTATATACAGCAGGCGAACTGCTGAGGAGGAAATGTAGCGAGAGAGTGACTACAACCAAGGGTTATAGACGTTTGTCGTGGGTACAACCAAGGGTAATTGGGCGGGACTAGGGATGGAATTTGCAGGTAAATGTAACCGCAGAGAGAGTAGGGGTGAGTGTCGGATACTCCGAGGAGGCGGAGGGGGGAGCTGTCGCAACGGGCGAGAGGGTGGGGGTGAAATTTACAGAGGGAAAAAGGTGATAGAGAGAAAATAATTCTAATTTATTCAAAAGCAATCATAATCAGTTCACAGTTGAATAAAACCAGTGCAATGTTTTAGATTTGTCAACCCTAATAGAATTATAAAAGAATTAGCCAGTTGTATTTATTTAACTGCCACATTGTGTAAACATGATTATTACTACGATTTCGCCAGGAGGCAATTCGTAATTCACTGTCACCAAGAAGCTGCGCGTAGACTCTGGAACACGCACTCATGTGAACATTAGCAAATATAATACTCTCTGCTGTCGCTTATTGTTATAAATTGCCTGTTTTTAACCATCCACCCAGAACCCCAAGCCTCAATTACTCTGCTCAAGCCTCCACCAACAATACCATAGTCACCACGCGTCTCCTGCGACAACGAAAAACATCTTTCATTTGATACGTTCCCTCCTTCGCCGTCCCTGCAGTCGCGGAGAGCCTCTCTTCTCCTCCCCCATCATCGAGCTGCATCGCCGTGGCCGTCTTGTGCAGCGGCTGCCAGCGACTTCATGGGGTCATCTGCTTTATCGAGCGGTACCGCTGGGGCTGCGCAGCAGACATCACCGTGGTGTACACCGTCAAGCTGCAGGGTATCACGCCGGACCAACAACAAGAGCAGATTTGGCGATGCCGCCTTGGCAGTGGTGCACAAGCACAAGTAACACGAACTCAACACATTCATCAGTAATACCGACATTTCTGGCAATGGACCCTTTCTATCTAAACAACCCCTCCAAAAACTTTGATGTGTGCAATGCGCATATGTGTGTTGTTCATTTCGTTTTCTGGCCTGAACTCTTTCTGTTTCTTTACTTATTATTTATTTTATTTACTACTTATCTTTCTCATGCTACTCGTTGGGCGGTTGAAATTTACTTTGCTCAGTCAGTGTTAGCCGCTGAGGTGGTGATGGGTTTCTATCTTCATCCCTGTTGCTCTGTGCCGCCTGTACCATTCCCATTCTGTTGTAATGTGCATCGATGCACTACTTTATTGAGGGCGATATTGGCACTTAAAATAAAGATTGTATGTATGTTGAACTTCTTTCGCATTGTACATAGCCAACCGTTTCCTTGTAATTTACTAGATTTGAATTCATTTGAAAAACTTTCCGACACCTCTCATCTGCTCAGCACCCCACTTCCGCTCAGCATGCACCATTAATTTTTAATTAAAATATCGAACTTTTTAACGTATTTTGTTACCAATATTTGCAGAAACTTTCATGCTGATATTGTGTGGTTTTGTACTTTTAATTAACACGTCCGAAGTGTCTAAGGACGGATGGTCAGACATTAAGAAAGCCACAACTTAAAAAAAAAAATATCTCGTAGTGGTGCATCACTGTGAGATTATTTAAAAAGTACCATTGCATGTACTTACTTATTGAGAATTGGTTTCACAGACAGCACCTGAAATAGAAATGAAAGCACGTGTAAACTCAACTCCCTCCATGACAGTTATATCGCCTGTTAGGGCAAGAGTGAGTCCCGCTCACGTTGCTGGTGTGTGTGTGCGCGTTTGTGGTGAGCGCAATGCACACACACCGGCAGCATGAGTGGGACTTACTCGCTCACGCTGCCGGTGTGGGGCACAAGAGTCTAGGTCAGCAGTGGATAGAGCATCCGAAAGAGATGGAGTCTAGGCCATGATAGAGCAAAAGCTATAGAGATGGAGTCTAGGCCAGCAGTGGATAGTGCATGCAATAGGCATGGTGTACTAGAGGTAGTCTAGGCCAGCAGTGGATAGAGCAAGCTATCAAAGTAGTAGTCTAGGCCAGCAGTGGATAGAGCGGGGCTCCTCACCTCAGCTCTCTCCCCAGGAGTTGCAAGCGGAATGAGTGGAGAAGGTTGTGTGAGGGGTTAAAACACTGGTGAGCATCGGAGAGTGTTAAAAATGGAGTGATGGTGTACTAGAGAAAGTCGAGCCCAGCAGTGGGTAGCGCATGTGAGTCCAACTGAGTAGCTTTTGCTCTATCATGGCCAATTGAAGCTCTGTCGTCCCGACAGTTCTGTTCTTTCACCTGAAGAAGGCTACTTGTGTTGTGGCCGAAACGTCGTGAGAATTTTATTGTCTTATTTTATTATTTTATTCTCATTCTACGTGACTTTACCGAAAGAACCAAAGAAGATGAGTCGCAGACGTTATCTTGGGAGCAACACTATTTATTTCGCATTAACACGTAACACAGCACAATCTACACTCGGGTCTCGAATGCCCATCTAACCACGCTACGGCAGAACTAGACACGGTTCGCTATCCCGGTCCGGACCACAAGCTGGGTCCCGGACCGCGTGGCTAGAGGCTTCTTCTCCCCGACGTGGATCTTTGAACACCAACACTTGAAGAACCCGAGCTCCTCACGGAGCTCTCGTTATATGCTCCCAGGCTGGGGCTGGCTCCGCCCTTAGCCCCGCCCACGTTTCATGCTTCTCGAGCTCCCTCTCGAATGTTCCCGAGAGCCCCTCGGGACCACGTGACCGCCCTTCGGCCCCCGTCCACCGGTGGCCCCCCTCCAGTATCGCCCGGTCACGTGACAACAGCTCAGCCAGAGTGTCATGCCCCAGAGTAACTCTGGCTGGCTGACGCTCGCTCTCGCTCCCTCACTGGGAGCTGGTATCGCACACTGCTCGCGGTGCCTCCGCGCTAACCCGCGCTCACCCAACCACCGCTAGAGTTGGTACTGCAGCCCGTAACCCGGTTGCCCGTAATGACAACATTACTGGCCGTGACTTCGCAAGCCCCGGCACCATACAGTGACGAGTACAGTCACTACACATGCAATAGGCATGGTGGACTAGTGGTAGTCTAGGCCAGCAGTGGATAGAGCAAGCTAAAGGCGTGGTGTACTAGAGGAAGTACAGCCCAGCAGTGGGTAGCGCATGCAATAGGCATGGTGGACTCGTGGTAGTCTCGGCCAGCAGTGGATAGAGCAAGCTAAAGGCGTGGTGTACTAGTGGTAGTTTAGGCCAGCAGTGGATAGAGCAAGCTATAGAAGTAGTAGTCTAGGCCAGCAGTGGATAGAGCGGGGCTCCTCACCTTAGCTCTCACCCCAGTGGTTGCAGGCACCATAAATATTGCATGCGCTACCCACTGCTGGGCTAGACTTCCTCTAGTACACCATCTCTATAGCATACTTTATCCACTGCTGGCCTAGACTACCTCTAGTACACCATGCCTACTGCATGCACTATCCACTGCTGGCCAAGACTACCACTAGTACACCACGCCTATTGTTTGCTATATCCACTGCTGGCCTAGACTACCACTAGTCCACCATGCCTATTGCATGTGTAGTGACATCGGGGATGTCACTGTATGGTGCCGGCCCGGGAGGGTCGTGGCGTGCGATGTTCCTACGTCGCGGACAGCACTGGGTGGGTTGCTGTGTGATGCCGGCTTTACGATAGCATGGCGTGCGATGCACCGTTATCTCATACACCCCGTGTAGTACCAGCCCTAGCGGGGCTTGGTGAGTGCTGGGATAGCGCGGGCACCACGCATAGCGTGTAGTGCGGGCTTCCACAAGGGGGAGCGGGAGAGTGTTAGCCCAGGGACAGGGTTGTCCTGGGCCATGGCACTCTGGTTGACCCCGTAGATACGTGATCCGGAGTGTCCACAGAGAGGGCCCCAGGTGGGGGGGGGGGGGGGCTATGGGGTGATCACGTGTCCGGGGAGAGCTCTCAAGAGGGATCGAGAGGGAGCTAGAACGCTTGAGAAGGCGGGTGGGAGGATATAAGGTGGGTCCCTGAGAGGGACCGGGGTCGCTTCGTTCTACAAGCTGGAAGCTCCACATCCGACAAGCTGGAAGATGCACTGTCGGCGCCGATGGACATCCCAGCTCTCCGACGATGGCTTCCCTTTATTAAAGAGTTCGCAGCTACCAGTGGCGACTGGCTGGCCTTCAAATGGCGGTTCCTCACGAATGCCGACTTGGCGGGATGGTCGGAGGCGAAGGCGTTGCGGGCGTTGCCCGCTGCCCTCGACGACAATGCCCTTGCGGCGTTCCTCCCCATCCCACCGCTGGATAGGACCACCCTCACGCAGGCTTTCGACCAGATGGCATCCATCTACGAGCATCCGGCGAACACGCGCCACAAATTTGCCACGCGGCGGAAGGGGGAGACCGAGTCGGTGTTCGCCTTCCATAGCGCGCTTTTGGCGCTGGCGAAACCCGCCTTTCTCAAAATGGACCACGATGGGATCAACGCGTTTGTCCTCGAGAGACTGCTGGCCTTGGCGAAATCCCTCCACACCATTCTTCCAGCCGAAGATGATGACGTCTCGTCTCTCAAGGTCACTAAGTGCATCCAAGCCCAGCAACTTCTACAACGGGACAAGGCACTGGTGACGTGTGCTGTGTGCCGTGTCCCGCACGGAGCCGGGGCAACCTGATGGAGGGGAACCCCTTTCGGCATGCGCGTGGACTCGGGGTGGAGGCGACCGGCATGATGATGGGACGCAACGGACGGACGAACAACGGTTTCCAAGGTTGTCGTCTTGTTCCGGAGGTGGCCGTGTCACCTGCTACAATTGCGGCCTGCCGGGGCATGTGTCATCGGGCTGCCGTGTACCACGGCAGCGCCTCCCAGCATCGCCGCCATCCTACGCTTCCCTACACCCTAAGGCGAGTCGCGACGCACTCCACACTCGACCCCTGGCCTTCAGTATGGGGGAGTCCTACGCGAGATCGTGAGGTTTGCAAGCACCGGCTGGATCAGTGGTCGGAGCTGGCCCATCGAGTGGTAGCTGCGGCCTCGGGTTCATCTGCCGTCCTTGGGTTTATCGAGGGTGTGGAAATAAGGATGCTAGTCGACACGGGTGCATCGGCAGCTATCAACTCTGAGTTGATTTGCAATATTTTGCCCCCTAAGTGTCGGGTTCTAGACCCTGTTGATGCATCGTGTTTCGCCGCTAACGGCAGCTCATTGGGTATTATCGGTCGGATAACGGCCGAGGTACGCATCGCTGATGTTAAATTGTCAGGACATACTTGGAACCGAATTTCTTGGTAGGATGCCTCTGAAAATCCGCATTGACCGTGGCTGTTTGGAATTGCCATCTGGCCGTGGTATGGCATTTTTGCCCTTCCCCACCCATTAGTGTCCGGCCAACGCTATGGTGCAGATGCTCGCATGCCAAACGGTGAGAATCCCTCCCGGCGCGCAGATGTTAGTCCCCCTACACTTGAGGAAGCCGCTTGATTTTGTGGCTACTGAGAACTGGATTGTTTTGGGACCTTCCAACAAGGTCAGTCGCGGACTGACTTTGGTGGTGGCTGGAACCTTTTATTAAGGTTCTTAATGCTGGGTTGGACACCACGGTCATCCAGGAGGGTACTGTGTTGGCTCATGCATTGCCGGCGCGTCCGGAAGGGGGCGACGTCGGAAATGTGGGCGCTGAGTTTTACACGCTACAATCCCGAGACATGGATTAAGGCTGGATAGACAAAATGTGTGCTGAAAATGGCACCTTGTCCGCGGACAAAATAGGAAAGTTTCGGGTGCTCTTGCATGATTTTTCAGACATTTTTAGCAAAGGGAAATTTGATATTGGACGCACGTCACTCCTGAGTCATCACATTGATACGGGCGACGCGGCCCCTATCCGGCAGAATCCCTACCAGCTGAGCCCGGCGGAGAAGGAACATGTTCGGCTGGCGGTTGATGAGATGTTGACCGCAGACATCATCTCACCATCCATTAGCCCCTGGGGAGCTCCGATTGTGCTTGTAAAGAAGCACGATGGTAGCTTATGATTCTGCGTCGATTTTCGGAAGCTTAATAAGGTTTCTGTTGCGGATGCATATCCCCTGCCTCGCATGGATGATTCACTTAATGCGTTGGCGGGAGCACGTTTCTTTTCCACCCTCGATCTCCTATCCGGGTTCTGGCAGTTGCTGCTTGACGATGTCTCAAGACCTAAGACGGCCTTTCGTACACCTCAGGGATTGTTCGAATTTAATCGGATTCCTATGGGGCTCCATTCCGTGCCAACGTCTGATGTAACTGGTCCTGGCGGGTCTCCAGTGGGACTCGTGTTTGATATATCTCGACGATGTAATCATCTTCAGCCGCACCTTCGATGAACATTTGCCCTGCCTGCGTGCCGTTTTTCTCCAGAAATCGGTTCGGTATCTTGGCCACGTTTTTGACGAATCGGGTATTGCGACCGACCCAGAGAAAACTGCGTATGTCCGAACTTGGCCGACCCCCACCTCGGTGACTGAGGTGCGCAGTTTCATCGGGTTTGCATCCTACTATCGCCGTTTCATTGCCGGGTTCGCGTCAATTGCAAAACCTCTCCACGCGTTAACAGCTAAAGGTCATGAGTTTCATTGGGGGGAGGAGGAGAAGGCTGCATTTCGTGCCATCCACGATGGATTGGTGAACGCCCCTCCCCTGCGTTATCCGGATTTTTTATTGCCGTTAATCCTGGATACGGACGCTAGCGATCCTGGAATTGGAGCCGTCTTGTCACAGGTTGTTGACGAGGTGGAGTGCGCTGTTGCATATGGCAGTAGGGTGCTGTCTCCGGGCGAACAGCGTTACTGTGTTACGCGCCGTGAATTGTTGGCCATTGTGGTTTTCGTGCAGCAATATTGCCCCTACTTGTACGGTAGACAATTTGAGGTACGCTCCGATTATGCAGCGCTCCAATTTGCGCTGCGTGTGGACCAGCTGTCCGGCCAATTATCATGCTGGCTGGAGATCCTGCAGGACTTCTCGTTCCACATTATGTACTGCAAGGGTTCTCGCCATACGAACGCCGATGTCCTGTCGTGATTGCAAATGACTGGAGGTTGTGCATGTTTTTCGGGTTCCGGGCGCTGTAAACCGACCGATGTAACCTTGTCCCCTCCTCTCGCGGCATCTGCCGATGCGGCGACAGGCGGGACGGGCGCCGGTCCGGGCGCACGGGATGCGGTCATCGGTCTGAATTACGGGGAATGGGGACGCCTTCAGGAGGAAGACGCTTCGCTACTCAAATTGCAGTGTCGTGTGAGGGAAGCTGATGGGGGTAGCATTGCCTCGGTCGTTTTGCAGGACGGCTTACTCATGCATTGGGACGGGGGGCTGCGTCGTTATACCATTGTTGTCCCCACTGCCCTGCGTGGCGAGATTGTTTGGGCTGTGCATGAGCGTCTCTTGCACCTGGGAATGCAGAAGACTCTGGCCACGCTGAAACTGGATTTCTATTGGCCGGCCATGTCTGCGGATGTGGACGATTTGCTCAAAGGGTGCGTGCAGTGTGCTCGGCGGAAGCCACCGGCGAAACCCTGCCGCCCCCCCCTTGCAATTAATTCAGGAGTCACGCGTCAATGAACTTGTTGCCCTGGACATGCTCGCCCATTCCCCACTACCGCTCGGCCGCTCGGGGGAACAAATATCTGCTTGTGGGGGTCGAGTATTTTTCACGGTGGCCTGTCGCTTGGCCGCTCCAAAATCAATCGGCTGAGACTATTACGGAGGCATTCCTCAATGGTTATGTTATGGACAAGGGTGCTCCTGAACGCCTTTTGACTGACCAGGGCAAGATTTTTTCTTAGAAATTGTTGCATGAGGTCTGCGCTTTGTTGGGTACAAAGAAGGTGCCGTACCACCCGCAGACGGATGGCATGGTTGAACGGCTACATAGGACTCTGACCTCCATGTTGAGCCACCAGGTCAATGAGTCACAACTCGTTTGGGATTTACATATCCCTGCGGTCCTCGCCGCTTATAGGGTGGCCCCGCATGCGTCCACCGGCTACTCACCGTTTTTTTTCATGTATGTAAGCGAGTACGACCCCCCCCCCCCCATCGGTATGCAGTTGCAGGCCACGTCGAAAATGCATGAATCCAAGATATCTGACTCCATTTGTTTCACTCTTCAGAAGCTGCAGTGGTCATTCATTGTATTGATATTGCAAGTATTAACAGATGCTGTAATTTCTGCTGTGTTTTTCCATCAGTTTTACCTCGTTCTATTCATTCAATAAGTCAGAGTCGGATGTTCACCCTGGCTCTGAAAGTTTATTGAATGCGAGGTTAACTACTCGGATAGTGGTGCAACACAGCGCACAGCGAGGTCAAGACACAATAATAATAATAAAGTGCAAACGCGCTACCTTGAGGAGTGAGTGGAGGTTGATGTTGGCTTGGCCGGTACTGTTGAGAGCTTTCATGGCAGGAGTCCTGCAAGGGCGTGGGTTTGTGCAAAATTAGTGCTGAATGTTGATTTATAAACCACATTGGTAAGTTCTAGATTTGAAGTTTTCGTGACTGCAAGGATCCATACTCTGTGGTTCTTTGGGTAAAGTCACGTAGGTGAAAAAAAATCTAATTAGAAAAATAATAATAAAAAAGAATAAAAATAAATCATGACGTTTCGGAAGCAACACAAGCTTCTGTCATCAGGCGGGACAACCACAGCCAAAAAACAAAATGCTTATTAATTAATTATTTCCCCATTTTTTTATTTCTAATTTGATTTTTCTTTTTTCACCTACGTGACTTTACCGAAAGAACCAAAGAGTACACATCGGTAAGTTTTAAGAATATGTGTAACAGAGCGCAAAAGTATGAACGTTGAATTTTAAATATCAGGGTGGTGACGCTACCCAGCAGTAGAGGTTTGCAGTCAACTCCAATAGGCCGTCTTGGTTATCGGTGCAGGTAGATTAACATTTGAAATAAGCTTGGCACAGATTGCTAAATGCCTTGGCACTGATGTAGCACCTTAGCTCAAAGCTGAAGGGAACGTGCATACGAGTGCAATATGGACCCCATTCCTTGAGAACCCTGTATAACACGCAGTAACTGAATGGAATGAGGAAAGATAAATGATCAGTGAGCGGGCGTTGGAGAGGCAGACTGGGCCGTAGACACCAAGCTACTCTATCACATTCTGAGGGACTGTTGTTCCCTGGAAGGAAAAAGGCAGAATTGGACGTTATTCTTTTTAATTGTTATTTTTCTTTATTTGGTTATACACCCCCCACCCCCATTTTCCCTTGCCCCTCCCTCCCCTTGTTAATCTTGCTGTACATCTTGCGAAAAGAGCTTTATAGCTCATTGGATTCCTCCAGTATCAAGACTCTGATTCTGAATCTCCAGCTCCCAATCATTGACCCGACCGTTGGAGGGAAGAGAACTCGGTGAACTCTAACCGGCACCCACTCAGGGGAGAATCGCCCAGAGAGTGCAGCTTCCGTCCACATGTTTCCCGCATGCGAATTTGTACAGTGAGGGAAAAAAAGTATTTGATCCCCTGCTGATTTTGTATGTTTGCCCACTGACAAAGAAATGATCAGTCTATAATTTTAATGGTAGGTTTATTTGAACAGTGAGAGAATAACAACAAAAAAATCCAGAAAAACGCATGTCAAAAATGTTATAAATTGATTTGCATTTTAATTAGGGAAATCAGAAAGATTTCTGGCTCCCAGGTGTCTTTTATACAGGTAACGAGCTGAGATTAGGAGCACACTCTTAAAGGGAGTGCTCCTAATCTCAGCTTGTTACCTTCATAAAAGACACCTGTCCACAGAAGCAATCAATCAATCAGATTCCAAACTCTCCACCATGCCCAAGACCAAAGAGCTCTCCAAGGATGTCAGGGACAAGATTGTAGACCTACACAAGGCTGTAATGGGCTACAAGACAATTGCCAAGCAGCTTGGTGAGACGGTGACAACAGTTGGTGCGATTATTCGCAAATGGAAGAAGCACAAAAAAATTGTCAATCTCCCTCGGCCTGGGGCTCCATGCAAGATCTCACCTCGTGGAGTTGCAATGATCATGAGAACGGTGAGGAATCAGCCCATAACTACACGGGAGGATATTGTCAATGATCAAGGCAGCTGGGACCATAGTCACCAAGAAAACAATTGGTAACACACTACGCCGTGAAGGACTGAAATCCTGCAGCGCCCGCAAGGTCCCCCTGCTCAAGAAAGCACATATACATGCCCGTCTGAAGTTTGCCAATGAACATCTGAATGATTCAGAGGACAACTGGGTGAAAGTGTTGTGGTCAGATGAGATCAAAATGGAGCTCTTTGGCATCAACTCAACTCGCCGTGTTTGGAGGAGGAGGAATGCTGCCTATGACCGCAAGAACACCATCCCCACCGTCAAACATGGAGGTGGAAACATTATGCTTTGGGGGTGTTTTTCTGCTAAGGGGACAGGACAACTTCACCGCATCAAAGGGACGATGGACGGGGCCATGTACCATCAAATCTTCGGTGAGAAGCTCCTTCCCTCAGCCAGGGCATTGAAAATGGGTCGTGGATGGGTATTCCAGCATGACAATGACCCAAAACACACGGCCAAGGCAACAAAGGAGTGGCTCAAGAAGAAGCACATTAAGGTCCTGGAGTGGACTAGCCAGTCTCCAGACCTTAATCCCATAGAAAATCTGTGGTGGGAGCTGAAGGTTCGAGTTGCCAAACGTCAGCCTCGAAACATGACTTGGAGAAGATCTGCAAAGAGGAGTGGGACAAAATCCCTCCTGAGATGTGTGCAAACCTGGTGGCCAACTACAAGAAACATCTGACCTCTGTGATTGCTAACAAGGGTTTTGCCACCAAGTACTAAGTCATGTTTTGCAGAGGGGTCAAATACTTATTTCCCTCATTAAAATGCAAATCAATTTATAACATTTTTGACATGCGTTTTTCTGGATTTTGTTGTTGTTGTTGTTGTTATTCTGTCTCTCACTGTTCAAATAAACCTACCATTAAAATTATAGACTGATCATTTCTTTGTCAGTGGGCAAACGTACAAAATCAGCAGGGGATCAAATACTTTTTTCCCTCACTGTACTACGGTGCGTAGAGTACTGCATTACATACCAAAACAGTCTGCACTCACCCTTTACATTACTTTTTGCCTAATTTTGAAAAAGAACACGTATGCAAAACATTACACTCATAAGGAAATGTTCCCAAATTAATAAGCCACGTATATTTGAGAAACAATGCATAATGCAGCAACTTATAGCGGGGAGTTCCTATACAGTATCTATGTACAGGAGTCTTGCTTAACGGGCGTTCTTTCAACAAGAATTCGCTATTATGAGCTATTTGAATTTAGACCAATTCGTTCGCAAAATGAGCAAAATGTTCGCTTACTGATTGATAAATATGCGTCCCCTGGCGACAGGGGGCACACGGTGGCCCGCAGCTGTTTGTTTACCAGCTGTGCTGTCCTGCGTGCCCCCCGTGTTTCATAGGGTGGGGGAGGGGGTCCCCATGCCATTTCTTGATTTGCTTATTCGAGTTTTTTTTTTCCTTCGGGTTAAAACTAGGATTTAGCCCATATATATAATTTTTGTACAGCGTTATAAAATTGAATTATCATTCCGTAAGGACGGACTGCCCTCTAGTGGAAACATAAGTGTCCCCAAAGCTTTGTAAACTCACTACTACACTGTAAATAGATATCAGGTAAAGTATGTATTGTTTGCCCAATAAAGGTTCACTCACTTAGTCTACTCTTTGCTGATGAGACGTCTTGGAAGAGGTGTGTGTACCCACACTTTACCCCCCCCCCCCCCACAAGCTTTGTGGTGTAACTATTTAGACTGCTGGGTGCAATTGCGGCAGATTTAAGAAACTTTTTCCCAATGGGTCAACTGCCTCACCAGACGATGGAGTAAAACCAGCGACCTCTCAATATCAAGGCCAGTGAGCTAACCGTTACACCACCGTGGCTGCTGCCTTCATTTCACCGTTATGATGCTAAAGATGTTACATGTGTTACTCTGAGCAATGTCTATATGTGCAGCAAACTGATAACCAATGTGCAAAACAAATATCCGAGAACATCGCGAGGTTGTGCTCTGTGTATGCTCACCGTCGATCATCGCGTGCAGGAGGAGCCTTCCAATGATCGTAGTTCGTCTCCACGAGGTACCATCTGTGACACGGACATGACACGCGGTGCGCCAAACATCGCCGCTGTTCGTGCTCACAACATGCGGGGCAGAGGCCGTACGTTTCCAGCGGAGGGCAGTGTGCAGAAACATCTATTGCTATGCCCTCGGACCCGCATGGTGTGGGGAGGCCCTGACCCAATGGCGCACTGGCAAAAGGGCAGTGCATAAATATGTAGGGAGATGTCAAACAAGGCCAGCAACAAAACCCGGAGTGGTGCAACAAAACTCGGGAGTGATACAGGTGTAGGAGAACTTGGTGCAATATTGTCACAGAAATATAGGTGCACACAAAATAAACATTGAGAGAGAATGTAATTCAATATAAAACTCATACCATGAGAGCATAATATAGATTTTGGGCTCAAACAATTTAACATACTGCATAAACCAGCAAACAATGCTATGCTGATGAACATCACATACAATCATGTTTATTGGTCTTATGCTTTGTAAGGTGAAACACATTGGAGATGTAATGTTAATCATTGGCCCAAGATAAATTACAATAACATATGAATACATTAATTCGCAATGGTTAAAATCTAATTTTAATGTGCTTGGTTGCTCCTGTGGGGCAATGACAGGAGACGCAGTGACTCTGACTTCCCGGATCTTATCCTGATGATGCTTGACGCAGTTTCAAGTGAACGTCGTATTTACAGTGAGGGAAAAAAGTATTTGATCCGCTGCTGATTTTGTACGTTTGCCCACAGACAAAGAAATGATCAGTCTATAATTGTAATGGTAAGTTTATTTGAACAGTGAGAGACAGAATAACAACAAAATCCAGAAAAACGCATGTCAAAAATGTTATAAATTGATTTGCATTTTAATGAGGGAAATAAGTATTTGACCCCCTCTCAATCAGAAAGATTTCTGGCTCCCAGGTGTCTTTTATACAGGTAACGAGCTGAGAATAGGAGCACACTCTTAAAGGGAGTGCTCCTAATCTCAGCTTGTTACCTTCATAAAAGACACCTGGGAGCAGAAGCAATCAATCAGATTCCAAATGCTACACCATGCCCAAGACCAAAGAGCACTCCAAGGATGTCAGGGACAAGATTGTAGACCTACACAAGGCTGGAATGGGCTACAAGACCATTGCCAAGCAGCTTGGTGAGAAGGTGACAACAGTTGGTGCGATTATTCGCAAATGGAAGAAACACAAAAGAACTGTCAATCTCCCTCGGCCTGGGGCTCCATGCAAGATCTCACCTCGTGGAGTTGCAATGATCATGAGAACGGTGAGGAATCAGCCCAGAACTACACGAGAGGATCTTGTCAATGATCTCAAGGCAGCTGGGACCATAGTCACCAAGAAAACAATTGGTAACACACAACACCGTGAAGGACTGAAATCCTGCAGCGCCCACAAGGTCCCCCTGCTCAAGAAAGCACAATATACATGCCCGTCTGAAGTTTGCCAATGAACATCTGAATGATTCAGAGGACAACTGGGTGAAAGTGTTGTGGTCAGATGAGACCAAAATGGAGCTCTATGGCATCAACTCAACTCGCCGTGGTTGGAGGAGGAATGCTGCCTATGACCCCAAGAACACCATCCCCACCGTCAAACATGGGGGTGGAAACATTATGCTTTGGGGGTGTTTTTCTGCTAAGGGGACAGGACAACTTCACCGCATCAAAGGGATGATGGACGGGGCTATGTACTGTCCAATCTTGGGTGAGAACCTCCTTCCCTCAGCCAGGGCATTAAAAATGGGTCGTGGATGGGTATTCCTGCATGACAATGACCCAAAACACACGGCCAAGGCAACAAAGGAGTGGCTCAAGAAGAAGCACATTAAGGTCCTGGAGTGGCCTAGCCAGTCTCCAGACCTTAATCCCATAGAAAATCTGTGGAGGGAGCTGAAGGTTCGAGTTGCCAAACGTCAGCCTCGAAACCTTAATGACTTGGAGAAGATCTGCAAAGAGGAGTGGGACAAAATCCCTCCTGAGATGTGTGCAAACCTGGTGGCCAACTACAAGAAACGTCTGACCTCTGTGATTGCCAACAAGGGTTTTCCCACCAAGTACTAAGTCATGTTTTGCAGAGGGGTCAAATACTTATTTCCCTCATTAAAATACAAATCAATTTATAACATTTTTTGGCATGCGTTTTTCTGGATTTTTGTTGTTGTTATTCTGTCTCTCACTGTTCAAATAAACCTACCATTAAAATTATAGACTTATCATTTCTTTGTCAGTGGGCAAACGTAAAAAATCAGCAGGAGATCAAATACTTTTTTCCCTCACTGTAACTGCTAAATATGTTTGTGAGGATTGTCCGTGAACTCACCAGTGAGCTGAAAAACCGCTTGCACACGTAAATATTAGTTTGACTGTGTCAGGTGGTGGAGGGTTATTAACGAGACCGATTCGGCCCCATCCACATGCGGCTTAAGCCACGAATCAATTATCAAGCATTGCAAGTTATTATTATCATTGTTTGTTTACCCAGGAAAGCCTCAGATGCATCTTTAAGGGACAACTTTGCATGGCAGCATCGGTCACACGCATGTTACATGTGTTACTGACATGCCCTGGTGGGGCTGCAGGAACCAAGTATCCACGGCAGCCTCTCTGCGACGGGTGATGACAGCCCCCTCACCGGGATTTACACCTCCCACGATGAAGTACGTGTTTGAGATGAGAGGGGGGTGGGACAGAGCCACCACAGCAGACTTGAAGTCTGTGGCTGTGGACAGAGTCTACATACGTGCACACACATAACACATACACAACACACCACACACACAACAAAGACAAAGATCCCCCGTATAGCCTTAATAGACTTTAGGGGCAAGTGCTGTTAGCGAGCACCGATAAAGGCCGGCACGGCACACGAGGGGGTGGGTGGCCAACACCACGCCCGGCCGCCTTTGTCTCCCTAGTGGCGATGTTTACACATCGCACCAGGTACTCATTTGAGGCTGAGTCGATCTAGGGGAGGCCCGGGACCGGTTCAGATAATCTTCACTGGTGTTGGCATTGAGTGGGAATCGAACCCGGGTTACCGGGTTCGTAGCGCAGTGTACTAACCGCTACACCACCGCTCCCCACAACACAACGCACACACACACACAACACACACACACGAGGGAGCTGTCATCGCACGTCACAGGGAGGCGTAAACCATCACGCGAACTCTGGTCATCCTCGCAGCGGCTTTTGGGTTAGCTTCTGCAGCCGTCTGGAACGCTCTTCCTTCCAATATTAGGAAGCCACTGGAGCTATGCACTTTTAAATAATCATCTAGATTGACAAACTCGATTCTTTAGAACTGCTTTTTGTGTTTAATTTGTTGCCCTTCCCCCAAACCTCCGGTTATGTATGGTGTGAAGTTCAACATACATAGATAGATACAAAGAAAGTGTAAATGCCCCCTTTAACAACTCAGACTCATAACCAAACCATACAAGCACAAAGATGGTCGCAAATAGCTAAATTTTTACCAAACCGGACAAATGTAGAATAATTCAGTATTCATGATTCATAATCCATTTTTTGGTGAGATTGTGTTCGTAAAATGTGTGTAGTAAACCCTCCTATCAGCAAAACTTCGGGCGACCCAATAGTTAAATGTGTGTGGATCGCTGTCCAACACAGTGGTGGTGCTGATGAACCAGTGATACACTGGCACATTTGTTCATCATGTGACAACTTTATTAATTGGCTGTGTTGGGTGGAGGAGGGTCTACGATATACATTTTACTCATGTGGTGATCGGATCCAAAAATGTATTATGAATCATAATGTTGGTCGCGAAAGTCTATACATTAAATCAGTATTGTCCCTGTAATTAAGGAGGAGAGAGATGATGGGGAAAGGCAATTCCAGATCCCAGAGAGGAAAAAAGTGGCCTCAAGTCATGCAGAGAATGATAGGAGACCTCCTCCTTCGAACAAACAAGGCCAAGCTGCCAATGACCATTGATGGTGGCAGATGAGGTGACAGATGAGGTGACAGATGAGGTGACAGCCTGGACTGCACACAGGCAGGAGGAGCAGCGCCACTCAGGGCAACAGCACGTCAACGCCGCACAACAAGCGTGCTGGTTGGCGGTACTCACGTTGCGCACGAGCCATGTGACGACGTGGCCACGTCCCAGCAGAGCCTCGATCGCACTCTCCCACCATGAACCACCGTCTTCACAACCAACGCACGTGTTCCCACGGCAACGAGATTCACCGTGGGGTGAGAGGCAAGGTGAAGGAACACGCAAGCGAACTGTGAGACTTTCACAGCAGAGAGACAGAATAAAACATTGAGATGACCCAGAAAACCTCCTGCACCCAGGAAGCCATATGTGGAGAGGACACGGGCATGGGTAGGCCTTCGTCCAGCAGTGGATTAAGAAAGTGGCTGTGAGTTACGTAAATTGCAAAATTTATTTATCGGTGAAAGGCGGTAAAAGAGAAAGATTGAGAATTAGTGTTTAGTGGATGAATATTTGCTTTAATTACATATTAATCATACAGACGTGTTATGTCCAATGGGCTCCAAAGTGTGGAAGCGGGGACTTCACATTATATTGTTCCCAGAGGCAGACTTTACATAACCAGTCTCCGCTTGTGTCTTTGTTTCACTGCTATCTACTGGGATGGCCACATTTGTTTAATTTTTTGAGTTGGTGGTCTCAACGACAACATGGTCACACATTCTGTTATTTTGAGCTGGTGGTCTGGATGAGAATGAGCATTTTTTCATATATATGTGATGCTGCATTCCCGGAGACTCGACAAGTTTAAAAGTGTGCACTACTACACCCAATTCGATACGGGAAACTGTCATCTATGGTCTTTGATGTGAAAACCCAATGCACTGACCTCTTGCATCGATAGACAGCGTGAACTTTTCAGGTCGCTGGCCATTTGCCACTCCAACGTTGCCAACAAATGTAGTCCCTGTAAAAGAAACCTGCAAAAAGAATGTTAGGTTACGCGACAGTAATTCTTCTTCGATAACCAATTACGTTGAAGCTGAATCAAAATATGCGTGGATAGTATGTTTTAAAAGGAAATTAACAAACACCAATGTGAAATCACAACAAAACTCTGGGTAGGCTGTCATGGTTGCCCTGCTGTGCAGCTCTCTGTGTCATTATGGGTACAACCGCAAGTGTTGCCACTGATGTTGCCGGGCAGTGGCTTGGCATTCATTCTCCAGCTGTGAGTCACTTCTTGACATAAGCGCAAAAGGTTAAATGCAATAACATCAGCGAGCTTACAGTGACCCCATAGTGATACCAATCACTTCACTCGGCTTCACTCAAATGAAAAAGCCTTGCGATGTTCATCTGTCCTGTATTCTTGCTTTGCATCTTTGTCAACTCACTCTTGTAAAAGGGAATCTGGGCCCATTTAATCTTTTTTTCTTTCTTGCCAGGTAATGCCTACTGAGCTACTAGCTCTTTGTTAGAAGCGACTTGGACACAAATGATAGCACAATGAAGTGGCTTATCATGTGGAAATTTAAAGCAGTCAAATACTCTAAATGCATGTTTATAAATGTGGGGGGAAAAAACCCGAGGACCCAGAGAAAAATCCACGTGACCACAGGGAGAACTCCATACATGCAGGTGTCAGGGTTGGGATGAAACTCATGACCCCCTGTACACTAGGCGAGAGAGTTAACATCTCACCATTGCGGGGCCCCATGTGTTGGCGCAATGTCGAGGTGAGATCAAAAGTTATCCTTGTTTCACCAATCAAAATACACACGACCTTACAGGGGAAGTAAGTGGAGTTCACGTTTAACTTAGGAGTTTACCACATTTACATAAATTCACCGTCTAAGTTTGAGTTAGGGTACAGTCACACATCTAATTTAGTATTCGGCAGTATAGGAACAATTTCGATTTAAAGCTTTCGTGACTGCAATGATTCATCTTCTTTGGTTCTTTCGGTAAAGTCACGTAGAATGATAATAAAATAATAAATTGATAAAATCAAATAACACAATAATATTCTCACGACGTTTCGGCCACAACACAAGCGGCCTTCATCAGGTGAAGGGGGCGAGACTGTCTGGTAGGACAGCGCTGGAGTGAAAGAGCCACGTTCAGATACGGCCTTTAAGCTGTGTGAGAGGAACAAAGCGCCTTGACAAAGGAATTAGCATATAATTTAGCATTGAAATGGCTGAATGATTAGCTTGTGACTGGTCACAGAAATAGCTATGTTAAAAGTTAAAGCATACACACCCGCAGAGGCACCCATTGTTAAAGGGATTAGCATAGAATTTAGCATTGAAATAGCTAAGTTAAGGCATACACATCTTGACAATGGAATTAGCATAGACTTTAGCATTGAGATAGCTGAGTGGTTAGCTTGTACCTGCTGCAGAAATAGAGCTTGTACCTGCTGCAGAAATAGCTACGTTAAAGTCAGAGCATACACATTCACCGAGGCCCTTAGTACAAATCAAACAGGAGAATTTAGCATTGAAATAACTAGGCGAATCCAGCATTGAAACAACTGAGTGATTAGCTAGTGACTGGTCACAGAAATGACTACACATCTGAGCTATTCACAGTACTATATAGTGAACCAATAAAAACTAAAATATAAATTACCTTCATGTTATCAATAAACTCTATATTCTCCAATCAGCTAAGCTACCAACAATAAGTCGTTATATATCACAATGCTATATGGTGAAAAAATGGGTGGATTCTTACCCTCAAATTTCAGCACCACGGATAGCTACGGGTCCCGTTCAGACGGACGAGTTCGTCCATGGTCGGAACAGAGGAGGGGGAGAGAGACAGCTGCGAGGCCCTAGTATGCTCCATATTGTAAAACTATACCATTAACCGTGGTGTGAGAGGTATTAAGAGGCAATGCTGGCGAAAGAGCTGCGGTCTGAAGGTCATCGTAAAAATACAATTAATTAAGAACAGAAATGATTTAAAACATCTTTCCAGTGGTTACTAAGCCTGAATCCATCTTCTCGGTTGAAATTGTCTCTGTGCTTGTATATGTGAATGGCCTCATGAACGAATCTCTCATGGTAGCCGGTTGGTTTGCAAAGAACCTCCGTCTTGGAGAAGTCAATGTCATGTGAGCCCACTGAATTATAACAGTGATCTGCCACGGCAGAGGAGTTCGTCCTACCGTGTTTCAAGTCTGCTTTGTGTTCGCGGATGCGGTCCGAGATATGTCTTTTGGTTTCTCCAATGTAGCTACTACCACAGAGGCACTTTAGTTTGTAAACGCCCGGGTACTGTATGTCTGGAACAGCATCTTTTACAGATGGAACTAAATCACGGATTTTATGTACTGTGTTGAATCGGACCTGGATCTTGTGTTTGTTCAGGATTTTGGAGATACAAGCACAGAGACAATTTCAACCGAGAAGATGGATTCAGGCTTAGTAACCACTGGAAAGATGTTTTAAATCATTTCTGTTCTTAATTAATTGTATTTTTACGATGACCTTCAGACCACAGCTCTTTCGCCAGCATTGCCTCTTAATACCTCTCACACCACGGTTAATGGTATAGTTTTACAATATGGAGCATACTAGGGCCTCGCAGCTGTCTCTCTCCCCCTCCTCTGTTCCGACCATGGACGAACTCGTCCGTCTGAACGGGACCCGTAGCTATCCGTGGTGCTGAAATTTGAGGGTAAGAATCCACCCATTTTTTCACCATATAGCATTGTGATATATAACGACTTATTGTTGGTAGCTTAGCTGATTGGAGAATATAGAGTTTATTGATAACATGAAGGTAATTTATATTTTAGTTTTTATTGGTTCACTATATAGTACTGTGAATAGCTCAGATGTGTAGTCATTTCTGTGACCAGTCGCTAGCTAATCACTCAGTTGTTTCAATGCTGGATTCGCCTAGTTATTTCAATGCTAAATTCTCCTGTTTGATTTGTACTAAGGGCCTCGGTGAATGTGTATGCTCTGACTTTAACGTAGCTATTTCTGCAGCAGGTACAAGCTCTATTTCTGCAGCAGGTACAAGCTAACCACTCAGCTATCTCAATGCTAAATTCTATGCTAATTCCATTGTCAAGATGTGTATGCCTTAACTTAGCTATTTCAATGCTAAATTCTATGCTAATCCCTTTAACAATGGGTGCCTCTGCGGGTGTGTATGCTTTAACTTTTAACATAGCTATTTCTGTGACCAGTCACAAGCTAATCATTCAGCCATTTCAATGCTAAATTATATGCTAATTCCTTTGTCAAGGCGCTTTGTTCCTCTCACACAGCTTAAAGGCCGTATCTGAACGTGGCTCTTTCACTCCAGCGCTGTCCTACCAGACAGTCTCGCCCCCTTCACCTGATGAAGGCCGCTTGTGTTGTGGCCGAAACGTCGTGAGAATATTATTGTGTTATTTGATTTTATGAATTTATTATTTTATTATCATTCTACGTGACTTTACCGAAAGAACCAAAGAAGAGTATAGGAACACACACTAGTATTCGGTGCACCCCTAGTACAGGTAATATGTACATTGTGAGCGTACATATTACATTTAAGTACATTTTTTCTCCCTTCTCACAGTCGGTTCGTGTTCACACCCTCAGCCGTTTATGAACATTCCTATCCCAAACACCGATGACTTCTCGAAAAGCAGTACCCATTTTACCGACCTTAGAGCAGTGATTCACGGAGGCAACCCTTGACCGGGATTTTAACTTACAACTTTTCCTATTGTGAGTTGAGCGCCATAATGATAGGGTCACATGGCAAGCTAAGTTTTGAATGCAGCACAGCGTTTATTGCATAAGAATTAATCCGTATGTAATGATAGTTGTCTAGAGAACTCCTCTGAGACTGCTACACCAGTTTAAATGGATTAGGCGTCATTTGAAAGCTCGTGATTTAATTTCTCTTCTCCAAAACCGTGCACTTGGAAAACACTCTTTGGTTATATTCTTGGAACTTTCGGTAAAGTCATGTAGAAGGGAAACAATAAAATAATATTGTTTCCCTTCTACGTGACTTTACCGAAAGAACCAAGAATATGAATCCCTGCAGTCACGAAAGCTTTAAATAAAAAAATTATACTCTTTGGTTCTTTCGGTAAAGTCACGTAGATATAAAATAAAATAAATCACGACGTTTCAATTGCAACATAAGCAATCATCATCAGGTGGGAAAAGCACAGAAAAAAAAGTTTTTCTTGCTGTGGTTTTCCCACATGATGATTGTTTGTGTTGCAATCTACTTTACCGAAAGAACCAAAGAGTATGGATTCCTGCAGTCACGAAAACTTCACATCTACTTGGAAAACACTTTTAGTTTATTTTATTCAATTAACATTCAATTACCTCGAAAATCCCTTAAGGTGGAACATCTCGCTAACAAGGGTGTCCAGCGTGTCAACTGGCACAAGCATAGCAACACAAGTGCGCAAACATTTTATCAACTCGTGTTTGTGTGGTCGAGACAAGATCAGGTTGGTGACATCCCCCACCCACATTTTATTTCATCGTATGCATGCGTGCCCAACAGCCCACGTGGCTTCAGCTGCCAACTCCAACACACATTTAGATTACTCTTCTAAAATAGTTGAAATGAATGCTATGGAAACGAGTGGTCTTTGCCTTTCCGTCACGAGTGAAGTCGATGTCCACGCTGATATTCCGCAGGAAATCTGTGTAGAGGTAGTCGAGGTTGCGTGCGTGGTAAATATTCCCAGCAGTGTCCTGAGCGACTATACTCGTGCAGAACCTGGCTTAAACAAACCACAATTTGAGTGCTAAAAGAGCGATAGAGACACATTCACACGGCAAGTACTGCAAGGGTTCTCGACTCTGATGCTTAAATAAGATCAGTTTTCCACTCTGTAAATGATGAGAAAACCCATCACAACAGAAAATATTGGTGCAGGCTGGGAAACAAATAGATGTCCTGAAACAACACACAGCCACGTGCAATTTGTGAACAACGGCAAGCTTATCCTGACGACTGACTCTAGAAACTCACCACTTTGAATGTATGGTCTCAACAACAAAATATCCATACATTCGGTCCTTGTCAAGCTGGGGGTCTGTATAAGTTTGAGAGCTTTTGTACAAGCAGCGTGCATCTTTTCATCTTGTTTAATAAAAAATAAAAACAGTTTTTGCAGTGGGTATTATCTTAAAATATTGTGAACAAACTAGCAGTTTAATGCTTTTCATTAGCAAACCAAGTGTATATGTTTAAAGCAAATAGGACTTACATTTTGAATTCATTGAAGATATTAAGTATGACCATGTCACCCAGGTCGATCGACAGGAGAGAAGATAAACCTCGAATTTCCTCGGCAAAAGGATTTGGGAAAAAACGGTCCAATTCCCGAGCCACTTTCCTTACAACTGGTCTCACCCATGCAGGAACATTGTCCCTGGACCACGCACAGCCAGCAAGTGACACACACACACATATATATGAATTATTAGTGCCATATAAAAGCAAAGCATCGTAAAACTACAGTCCAGACCGATGATACCACGAGGCTGGTAAAACTATTTTGTCTTTTTAAAACCCAAATGTTTTGTTTTTAGCAATACATTTATTTTTCACAAATACTAATTTCTAATTAACAATGAGAGCAGATGTTATTGGTTTTAAAAAATCCACATTTTAGTCAAGCTGCAACTTCTTACATCCAGGAAGCCAACAAATGTAACTCAGATTGCCTTATAACAAAGTGTGACTAACAATCCTCTCCCTTCCAAAGTGTCTTTACAAGTCTATCACTTATTATTCAGAACTAATAATCAAATTATTTCCAATAAATATTTTGAGCATTTAAACACATACAAAATATTAAGGAATAAGTGAATAAAGCAATTAACTCTTTGGTTCTTTCGGTAAAAGCAACTAACCTTACTATTTTTTAACAGCAGTCTATGTTTTGTTGTGTATTGTACAATGCTAAAACACGGGGAAGAAAACTCTAACCCATGTGTAGTGGCATTGTTATGCACATGTGTACTTACCTGCGTAGCAGTATTGTATGGGTCACGTACACTCGCCTCTAGTGGCGCCCTCAGTGTGTAGGGGGCGAAGAACAGCCAAGGGGGCTGTTGAGTGACAGGTGTACGACCCACGACTACAATAACCGTTGACCAGGGGTGAGGGGGCCAGCGCCCACTGAGGGAGGGGGCTGGGTAGGGCAACGGTTGGACCCAGACCCTCGAGAGAGAGAGAGAGAGGATGGTAGGGAGAGGAAGGATATAAAGGGCAGCAGCTCTCCCGGCGTGAGTCAGTCCGCACTCACCTCAAGACTCGAAGACATCTAGATAGTGCCCTGGGACTTCCGACCTCCGACCCTTGTCAGGGCCAGGTACGAACGGCCCAGTGGCGGCAGCCGTTACCCTGGCAAGGTCGGGTGAGCATAGCCTCCCCTAGGTCCCTTAGATGGAGGAATTCCCGATAGCAGAGTATAGTGTGAGGGCACACTAAGAGTGAGGACGTATCCTCTAGGCTATCGGGTGGGAGAGGCCGTTACCTCTCTGTGTTAGGGACGTTCTCTGTCGTTAGAGTAAATAAACGGTGTTGCCTACAAAGAGAAGTCTCTGCCTACTTTGTCAACACTACACATGCATAGATTCTGCAACACTTTATAACTCGCCTTTTGTCCTCCAAAGTAATTCCTTACCGATATTAATGTTACGATCCAAGCCACATGACGAGATGGCGCCACGCGTAACAGCATCATCTCATGATGCCACACACAAAATAACATCATCAACTTGCATACTCACGCAATTATCTTGGCAGAATGAGACCGAATCATTTCAAGGTCAAAATGTGCAACGACATCCTTCCACCGCTCCGACGGCGGCAGATCCAAGTTGACAGTGAAGCGTGGAAGCGGGGGCCCCGTGGTCATGGGGATTGGAGTAGGGATCGTCATTAAATGGGTGGCTGCTTGTCCAGAAGACAGCAGCCATGGAGACCACAGCAAAAGTAGATATGCAAATCTTACTTGCATCTTGACTGCTTCAGCTGGATGGAAGATACAATGGCAGATTAAGAGTTTGGGTTTATATTAAAATGATAAAATGTATAACACAGATCTGAAAATGTATGAAACGTTGCAGAAAATGGCACGAAAACCACAGAACCAGATATTTATATCTTTAAATTTGCGTTGCATTCTTATTGATTCACTAAATGTATTCATGGTTCTTTCGGTAAAGTCACATAGATAGAAAAAATAACAATAAAATAATATAAATAAAGTGACTAAAAATATCACATCAGGAACAGGGAGGTTAGTCTCTGAGGGCAAGCTGTTTATAAAGGTTTAGAGATGGGCAGGGCAGCTAATGTTAATGTAGGAGAAAGCTCTGACACCGGCAGTAGGCCTACACCAATCAGAGAGCTGTTTATAAAGGTTTAGAGATGGGCAGGGCAGCTAATGTTAATGTAGGAGAAAGCTCCGACACCGGCAGTAGGTCTACACCAATCAGAGAGCTGTTTATAAAGGTTTAGAGATGGGCAGGGCAGCTAATGTTAATGTAGGAGAAAGCTCCGACACCAGCAGTATCTCTACACCAATCAGAGAGCTGTTTATAAAGGTTTAGAGATGGGCGGGGCAGCTAATGTTAATGTAGGAGAGGGCTCCGACACCGGCAGTAGGTCTACACCAATCAGAGAGCTGTTCATAAAGGTTTAGAGATGGGCGGGGCAGCTAATGTTAATGTAGGAGAGGGCTCCAACATCGGCAGTAGGTCTACACCAATCAAAGATTTTTCCAAGACTGAGGTACTCTGCAAACCTACCGGCTACCTTCAGAGATTTGTTCATTAAGCCATCAAGATATATAAACACAGACACAACTTAAACTGAGAGGGTGGGTACAAACTGAGCAATCATTGGAAGGACGTTATTAACCAGGTAAAATCTTAACTGACAATGATCTTTCCATCATTACCTGCCTATGTCAGCTGTTATTTCCGACTCTCTGTGTCTCTCTCTCTCTATGCCTCTCTCTTAGATCTCTCATGCTCACATGTCCTTTGCATTATACTCTCATGCCTTTAGATTGCACTCTCATGCTCACATGTCCTTTGGATTGCACTCTCATGCTCACATGCCCTTTGGATTGCACCCGTTGGGTTCCACTCCCTCGTCGAGGAGGCCGCTCTTCTCCTATCTTACAGTTACATGCTAATCTAGATTTGAAGCTTTCGTGACTGCAGGAATCCAATGAAGGGCATCTCTACTCAAGGCCAATTCACTGTCCCCAGATGATTTGCTTGTCACCTTTGATGTAGTTTCTCTGTTCACCAAGGTTCCTGTACCTGATGCCTCAGCAATAATTGAAGACTTAGTCCAACATGGACTGAATCCTGATGTACCTACTCTGGTTAGGCACTGCCTTACCAACACTTACTTCACCTGGAATGGTACTTTCTACAAACAAAATGAAGGTACCCCCATGGGTTCCCCCTTATCTCCAGTTATAGCGAATGTTTTCATGGATACATTTTAAACAGATGCCATCCAGACATCCACCCTATGTCCTTCCTTGTGGAAGAGATATGTAGATGACACTTTCGTCATTTGGCCACATGGCCTGCCAGCTTTGAATCAATTTCTCAACCACATCAATTTCATACACCCATCCATCAAATTCACCATGGAAGTGGAGAAGGATGGTTAGCTACCTTTCCTGGATGTTTTGAGAAGAGACCTGATGGCTCATTGGGACACTGTCTACAGGAAATCCACCCACAGAGATTCCTATCTGAAACCTGATTCCCACCACCATCCGGCACTGAAGAATTCCCTTATCAAAACACTACACCATAGGGCCAACTGCTTTTCCGACCCACACCACCTAGCCAGTGAACTGGAACACATACACCAGGTCCTCACGATGAATGGGTACTCGGACCGCATTATTCGCAAAGCTGTTTCTCCAACCATGGAGAAACAACCCCCTGAGAAGCCAATCAAAACCATCATGTTACCATACATAGCAGGTGTTACCAAAAAGATTTCCAAAATCTTAAACAAACACAAGATCCAGGTCCGATGCAATACAGTACACAAAATCTGTGATCTAATCCCATCTGTGAAGGGTGTCATTCCTGACATGTAATATCCTGGAGTTTACAAACGGAGTTGTACCTGGGGCAGCAGTTACATTGGGGAAACTAAACGACATGTCTCGGACCGTGTTCGTGAACATAAGGCAGATCTGAAATTACGGCAGGACCAATACTTCTGCCGTGGCTGACTATTTTTATAATTCTGTGGGCTCGCATGATATTGTTTTTTTCCGAGACCAAGGTTCTCTGCAAACCTTCGGGCCACTATCAAAGGTTTGTTCATGAAGCCATCCAGATATATAAACATAGACATAACTTCAACCAAGAAGATGGATACAAATTGAGCAATCATTGGAAGGATGTTATTAACCAGGTAAAACCCTACCGGGTACGAGTCTATTTTTCCAAGTTAACTTCCCCCCCCGCATCCCCAGCCCTCTTCACCTCCCACTTCCAGCCCCGCCTACTTCCCCCCCCCCCCCAGCTTCACGTCCCTCTCCTAGCATCCAAGCAGCACTTCCCTCCACGTCCCCAGCTCTCTCGGCCTCCCACTTCCCCCCTCCTCCCCCAGCCTCACGTAACTCTCCTAGCATCCACGCAGTGCTCCCCTACCCGACACTCCCCCCCCCCTCTCTTTCCCCCCTTGCCCCTCCCCCTTTCTTACCTGATGATGATTGCTTGTGTTGCAATCGAAACGTCGTGATTTATTTTATTTTATACCTACGTGACTTTACCGAAAGAACCAAAGAGTCTAGTTACATGCTAATTCATCACATTAACATCACTAGCCCCGGCCACTCCTTTATGACCCTTGGGCTACACCCATTTCAAACCTTTTAAAACAGTCTGCCTCAGCAGCAGACCATGCTTTCCCACCTGATGACGGACGCTTGTGTTGCGACCGAAACGTCGTGATTTATTTTATTTTATACCTACGTGACTTTACCGAAAGAACCAAAGAGTATATAGTTAAAGGGTTGTTCATAAAGGTTTAGAGATGGGCGGGGCAGCTAATGTTAATGTAGGAGAAGGCTCCGACACCGGCATTCAAAATGTTCCATTATGTTTCGTATGAAAGCCGAGAATGTTAACACAGCATCGCTTCCTGTGGCAGCAGAGCCAGAGTCTGATTGCATGAATGCAACAGTGACAGCATGGGGCATCTTGAACATGACTCGCAGCCACGAGGTCAGCATGGTCAACGCTGCTAGACCCCACAGTTGAGGCCTCGAGGATCGATTCTTGACCACTGGGAGACTACTTTGTAGCCTGCAACCTGCTCGCTACTCTAACACACTATATTGTTAAACACAGCTGGTTCAATGCCAAACACAGGACAAAATGGTCTATATCGTCAAGTGGCCAGCAATAAACAGCACTATCATCGTTGTATTAGTTTAACACATTTCTTTAATTGTGCAAGATATTACAAGAGTATGAGAAAAGAGACGGTGGGAGGTAATTCCAACGTGCAGCAGTGGAGGGAAGAATCAGCAAGAGAAGTGTTGTGACCTGCAGTGTCGTGATTTGACGAGTAGGTGTGCAAGCGAGTGAACAAGCAAGTTGTGACCTGCAGTGTGTCGATTGGTTGGAAACAGTACAGATGAGATGAAGCAAATCTGTCTGGTATGCGTCGTGTGCCAAAACATACCCGTGACTAAAGCATCGTGTTCAGCACAGTCTGTAGAAACACGATCATGATTATATTCTTGGTTCATGATTGTTGTGCGTGGACACGGTGGTCTCTGTAATGTAGGTGCAGAGGTGCGGTTGACATGGGTCCTACCCACCGTGTGTAGCAGCAGCGGCTCGGGGAGCAGTCAACTTGGGACTCGGGCAGCAGTGGTGTCGGGGTGATCGTGTTGCTGATCGTGGTGGACTTGCAAGTCAGACTCTGCCCTGTTGACGCACACAGGGCGTGTTTACAACAGCGGTGGAGATTTGTCATGAGATTATCATTATTACGCTGCTTGTTTACCGAGGAGAGAGAGCCTCAACTGAGTATCGACTTTTCCAGGAGTGTCCTGCCAAGTTTTTCAGTAGGGGGCGATGTTGCAGCTGCTTTGTAATCACGATTCAGTAGTTAGCAGGTATTTTTTTCAGCATTGGGATGTTTTGGTCAAAATCAGTAACATTCTGTATGGGGTTTAGCTATGGGAGGAAATCGGAGAATCCTGAGGAAACCCATGTAGGATAGGGAGAGAACAAACTCCACACACACTCTGCAGAACAAGGGGAGCATACACTCGACACACACACACCAGCTGCCATTCGCCACGAAGTAGCGGTGGCATTACCACAGCGCTTGTGCCAGGCTAGGTTCACTTGGAAGCCACGTGAAGTGTCGATGACACGCTGGCAGGTCACAGAACAAACCCAGGTGGCATGGGTTGATTGATCGAAATAATTTGACAGATGTCCCACCCAATGGTGGAGCCAGGATTTTTAGGTAGGGGGGGCAACCCCTCCTGCAATGAAAAATGATAGTTGTTAGTAAGGACTTGTCCCTTGCTTTTTATTCGACGCATGTGCGGCGATGGCGCAGCCATCGATCGAGGATCGAATTCGAACCGTGTGTGACCGGCATCGCGCTCGCTGAAGGTATGCCTTCAGGGAAGTCGTGTACTTTCTTTACGCAACTGCGCATAATTCTGTGAGTCACTTATAACTGCTTTGCCGTAACTTATTGCCAATTATGTCCCTGGCACTTAATATGCTACGCAGTGGCAGTTGCAAAATGGCGATTTATTACTAATAAACCCCAATGATCCGATCGAAATTAGGGATTTCGATCGGATCATTGGAGGGGCACGTGCCACCCCCACCCCCACCGGCTCCGCCAGTGATCCCACCTGTAGTCCCTGCTATGCCAACTTGCTGCGTTTTATCCACCAGGCTCTTCAACTCGTTGTGAGTATCGCTCCTCTGCCCTCTGTTGTTGAAGGAGGGCAATTGCCTCCAACTGCCAAGCAGCATCCTTCACGATCATTCTCCACAGAGGTCGATCTTTGTACCACTCGTACCGGTCTTCAGCAAATTCACTGAGCTCCACAGCCTCCAATACCGCATCAGCCCATATCTTCACCAGCCCGTGCCGCGCCCGTTTATCTCCCTCCATCCGGCCAAACAGAAGCTGCGTGGACACGCGTTGGCTGGGCATGCGGGCGCCGTGACCCAGCCGACGCATCCTCTCCTGCCGGAGGAGCTCACCGATAGGAACGTGTCCAGATCCTTCAAGGAGCTGTGAACTCCTTAATTCAGCCTGGTTAAATCGCAGGCAGGCCAACCTGAATTTTTAAAACCGGTGCAGATATTGCTTCAGAGAGGTTCACTTTTAGCAAGCCTAGAGAAGGGAGAGGGCATGACGGTGCCTGAGAAGACCTTGTGCTTTTGTGTGCTCCCATCCCATCCTGGGGATAGGCGGACCCATAGACCACTCACGGGCTCCTATCCCATAGACCACACACGGGCCCCTATCCCATAGACCACACACGGGCCCCTATCCCATAGACCACTCACGGGCCCCTGTCCCATAGACCACACACGGGCCCCTATACCATAGACCACACACGGGCCCCTATCCCATAGACCACTCACGGGCCCCTACACCATAGACCACACACGGGCCCCTATCCCATAGACCACACACGGGCCCCTATACCATAGACCACACACGGGCCCCTATCCCATAGACCACTCACGGGCCCCTACACCATAGACCACACACGGGCCCCTATCCCATAGACCACACACGGGCCCCTATCCCATAGACCACACACGGGCCCCTATACCATAGACTACACACGGGCCCCTACACCATAGACTACACACGGGCCCCTATACCATAGACCACACACGGGCCCCTATCCCATAGACTACACACGGGCCCCTATCCCATAGACCACACACGGGCCCCTATCCCATAGACTACACACGGGCGCCTATCCCATAGACCACACACGGGCTCCTATCCCATAGACTACACACGGGCCCCTATCCCATAGACTACACACGGGCGCCTATCCCATAGACCACACACGGGCCCCTATCCCATAGACTACACACGGGCCCCTATCCCATAGACCACACACGGGCTCCTATCCCATAGACCACACACGGGCCCCTATCCCATAGACTACACACGGGCGCCTATCCCATAGACCACACACGGGCCCCTATCCCATAGACTACACACGGGCCCCTATCCCATAGACTACACACGGGCTCCTATCCACAGGCGTCACCTGAGACGCGTCCACGGGCCACCCAACAGCTCCGGCTTCGCTTCCAATACGCGAGCGGGGGGTCCAGGCAATGCACAGGAGACGAGCTGTCAATGCTGCCCCACCACGGACACAGCGGCCCAGCTGCTGCTGCGCGCTGCTGCCGCTGTGGGGCGCTGCTGCTGCTGCTGCCGCTTCTGCTGCCACTGCAGCTGCAAGGGCCCCTCGCCCACCACCGTCTCATCACCAGGGGATGATGGCACTGGGCCGGGAACGACCCAGAACGCCGTGGTTGGTGGTGGTGGTGATGGAAGTTACAGGCGCGTCTCGCTTAACGAGCGATACATTCATTTTGGAGGAGAAATTATTCGGTTTGTGGCACCCCCCCCTAAGGGGCCGTCCATAAATGACGTCACGCACCCGGGGGGGGGGGGGTCAGACATTTGTGACGATGTGTGGCGAGGGACGGGGGGTTGAGGAATGTGACGTCACATCAAAATGCGCAACTTTAAATAAATATAGACAACACGTTCTACCTAATTAAAATATATTTTTTAATAAATATTTTCTCCTACAACATCAGAGTGCAGCGCCACATTAAATACGCACTACAATGACAATAGTTTAAAGCGATTTGAAGCATTTTTTGGGGGGGGAGGGCAGAGCTTTGTGACGTCATATTTGAGGGGGGGGGTCTGACTTTTTGTGACGCCGTGCGACGAAGGGGGGGGGGGGGGTCAAAAAATTGTCCAAAATCGCGGAACGTCATTTATGGACGGCCCCAAACGTTCTCGCGCCCGAGAGTCGTGCATGGTATCGGTGAATGTTCACCTCATTTTGGAAATTGTGCGGCTCCTAAAATTCCAGAGACGCCACGATGTTAATGGTTATATATTTATTATTTTATTTTAAGTGAATCGGCGGGGATGACGATCTTATGAAGCCAGACAAACACGCATCTCTGTATCTGGCTTCACAATATTTTAGTAGAGGCAAACAGAGATTCAAATATAAAAATGCATACGCAGAGGGGCAGTCCATAAATGACGTCACGCGATTTTTGACCCCCCCCCCCATCGTCACACGGCGTCACAAAAGTCAGACCCCCCCTCAAATATGACGTGACAAAGCTCTGCCCCCCCCAAAAAAAATGCTTCAAATCGCTGTAAACTATTGTCATTGTAGTGCATATTTAATGTGGCACTGGACTCTGATGTTGTAGGAGAAAATATTTACTAAAAAGTCTATTTAATTAAGTAGAACGTGTTGTCTATATTTAAAGTTTCGCATTTTTATGTGACGTCACGTTTCTCAACCCCCACCCCCCCCCCCCTTGTCACACATCGTCACAAATGTCTGACCTCCCCCCCCCCAGGTGCGTGACGTCATTTATGGACGGCCCCAGAGAGACAAAGGGAGATGCAGATCGACCAGATGTGCTCTGACCATACCGCCCTTCCGTGTGCCTTCCCGGCCGTCATCGGCACAGTACTTTAGCGGCACTTGCACCAACAGTCTGTGAAGGCTTCATGGGAATGCTGTCTTTACCATTGTATGACACATTCCGGCAACGAGATTAGTTGTACGTGCAAGAGCGGTATCAAGGAGCCATGTGGAATGGCAGAGGTGTAATCCTCATCCAACAGTGAAGTTACCATGGCTGATGATGATAATGTTAAACTGTGACACAGTTACGGTGCGAGGGATTTCATGGCAAGATAAGCAATACAGAATTCCGCAAGGGAATGTGGTTGGTGTGTCGATATATTCGGCGAAAACGGGGGCGATGCTGGGACTTGTGCAGGATGGGGGAGGGCCGATTCTCGAGACGGGCATTGGCGTCGACTCTGCGAGTCAGACAACCAAGGGTATGGGGCCCTAAGAGCAGACGGTGGGAGACTGTGAGGGCAGATCTGGGAAGTCGCTGCGTGTCTACCCCGCAGCAGATGCGGGATCTGGCGGAGGGGAGAATGCGTTGGTTCGGTGCGGTGGTGGCATCGACACCTTTGACCATGATGACGTTTTGATCTTGAGAGGCACTTCGTAACACATGGAGACTATTTTTGTGAAAAAGTATGTACATTGCTATTGGGAGCAAATGTTGCACATTTAAGAGGTTTGGTGTCAAACTGAAACAAACAAAAAAACAGCACAGGTTTATATATATATTTTATTAAAATCGACGTGATTGACACGATTAGTACCAAAACATTGAAATTAAGCTTGAGTAAAACTAAAAGTTCTAGCAGACAGAGCATGTTAAACCCTTAGTTAGATGTGTTACACAAACGCAGCTGGATAAGCCTCATTCAAATGCATCGATAATCACAGGCCCCGCAGCTCAATTCCAGATCCTCGTGTGCCGACTCAGCACATGACATCAGCCATACTTTCCGGCTGGAGCTTGAGGAGGCTCTTTTTTTCTCGTGGAGACGGTGGGGGCTCCGCCGCTGGCGTGAGTGACGCCTCCATAAGATGAAATCCAACGAACAGCTCGTAAAAAAACGCACCGAGCACCCCACCGATCATGGGTGCCACCACAGGCACCCAGCTCCAGTAGTTACCGGACCTGCAACAACACACACAAGAGCACATTACGAGTTAGGCACATGAGCAGAGTACACTTGTAAATGTTGTGGGTTTAGTCTCCAACACAATGGTGTTCTGAACACGTAACTAATTGCCATGTTTTGTTTACGTGACAAGCATTACTAATTAATTGGCTGTGTCGGGTGGTGCCGGGTTTAATGACACATTTATAGTTATGCGATCTAACCCAAAACACCTCTATTATGCTAATTTTCCGTTTACAGTCCTCACCCAATTTAGAAAATTCCCCATTCCTATGGCGGGGGTAAGTCTGCCAGTGGATTACAATTTGACTTCGCCACAAAGTGGTACTTAATGTATCAACCCTTAAGGGGTGATGAGTTGAGTCAACCCTCCATCAGGATTTGAACTCGCAACCTTCCAATCGCAACCGGAGCCAGCATTCTTGGTTACAGACAACGCAATTGCTCATCATATACTCACGAAAAGACTGCCCAACCCCATCCAGCAATGGACGTGAAGAGACGCGGGCCGAGGTCACGGGCCGGGTTCACGGCGTACCCCGCGTTGAAGCCCATGGAGAGGCCAATGAGGACGACGACGAGGCCTATTATGTAGGGCTGCATGCCCTTTGGAGCCGGGTTGTTACGCTTGTCTATCACCGCCATGATGCACACCAGCAGGGCTGCAGTGCCAATCAGCTGTGCTCACACAATACACGCAATGTTTCCTGTTAAGCGACAGCACTCGTCGGTTTTATGCAGCGGTAACATGGAAAGGTTCTGTTATGGGACTTGACACACAGATGTAAGAGTGCAGCCGTGTAACCTAGCACATCAGAGGAGAGATGGCCGTGAAATTCCCAACCAACAGGGCTACGAGATGCCTGTGGGATGGCAGAACAGCAAATTAGCATACTATTCAGTGGTGTCTCTTGTTTGTGGACATTTAAAATTATTTCCCCGTGAACCCATCCCCAAAAAACATTTTGCCAAATATTCCAATGCGAATATTAATATTCATAATTTTTTGGTTTATGATTACCCAGCCAGCTGGCTCAGTGGTAGAGGGAGTGGCTCAAAATCAGCAGGACTCGACTTCAAATCCTGGCTGGGGGTTAGCTTGAACTCATCATCCCTCAATTATAGTTTTACTGGGAAAGTCAACAGCGGTTGTCCAATGGATAGACTCGCCCCTGCCAGAGAAACGTGGATCTTGCACTCCTTGCTCAGGGCAGCAAACATGAGATAAGTACCAATGCCTTATTGGTTATTTGAGTAGAAAACCACTGGCTCTTTTTGGTGATTTTTCTAAATACAATCAAATCAGAGAACGACGTTTTTCGAATAAATATACAAAGGTAAAGAACATATGCCTATGTGATGGTCAGCAAGGCATGGGATATTAAAGATATGTATAATGTCAAAACATATTTGGCTTATATGAATCAAACAAAATTAGGAATGCACACACAAGGGGCATGCTTGTACACAGAGTGGGTTGTGGAGGAGCAGGAGGTGTGAACTCTCAGTGTGAACGTTGTTTTTAAGTCCACGAATTTCGACGAGGATTCCAGGAGAAAATGTGGAGTTTAACAGTGTGCAAGGCGATGGGTGATTTGGGGACCTGTGTTCGATTCCCACTCACGGCCAATATCTGAAACAAGTCTTGAGTCTCCTCTAGGTCGACTTGGCCTTAAATTAGTATCCTTGTGTGGAGATTAAATATGAGCACGGAGGAGACAAAGGTAGTCGAGTGTGGTGTCGCCCACACCACCCCTTCGTGTTTCGGATTGGCCTTAATAGGTGATCGCTATCAGTATTTACCCCAACAGTCTGTTAAGGCTACAGGGGGATCTTTGTCGTTATGTTAGGCATACACGTGTGTATATGTACAGGACGCTCACAACAATGAACGAGTGGAGCGCCAGGCGGCTAAAACGCAGAAAATTGGCACAGTGGGGGGCACAGAGTGCATCTGCCAATTTGCTCAGTCAACCCATAGCACCTGGGTCCGTCCCTTAACCTCCTGTCAGCAAGCCTTCAACACTGCGTGTGACGGCTGCAAAGTGCATCTAGCCTGGCACAAGTACTCTGGTGACAACACTGCAATTTAGTGGCTAATGCCTGCTTTTGTTTGGTGTGTGTGTACAGAAAAACTCGTGTGTGCATTTATTCGTATATTCAACTCCAATTTGATTGACATTCTTGGGAAAGGCTCAGAATATTGTTACATGCAGAGTACGCAAATAGCGAAAATGTTTGAGATGTGAAGATATCTCCTGGAAATCCCACAACCAAAAGGAGGCTCCCTCAGTGGATTGACTTGGTTGCTTGTCAATGCCCTGTGTCTCGATCCCCCCCGTCTGGAATCGCGCTGTCGCCATCCGAGAATCTCAACCCAGATCCGGAAGCGCGCTGGCTGAGTGGAACAATGCGGCCATCCAGAATAAACACCTCAACTGAGACCAAAACATCGCACCTCCTGGCTTTGACGTTCCTCGAAGATACTGAACATCAACGGCCCGATGCACACATCTACTTCATACATGGACAATTTGAGAAAAGCCATAGTGCAATTGTGGCCATGCAACCAATACGATGGACCATATGGTAAATAACTGTAGTCTACGCTTCTTCAATGGAGGAAGAGCAAAACTATACAAACTCTTTTCTGAGGCCCTCTCGTGTGGGTAGCAGACCTCGACATTGGAAGTTAGCTCCTGAACGTATTGCTGCCGTGTGCAAGACTACAATAAAATGGCAATTCCGACCACCACCACCTAGTCAGTGAACTGGAGCACGTACACCAAGTCCTCAGGATGAATGGATATTCGTATTGCACAATCCGTAAAGCTGTCACCCCAACCGTTGGGAGAGAACCACCTAAGAACCCAATCAAAACCATCACCTTGTCATACATAGCAGGGGTCACCAAAAAGATTTCCAAAATAATGAGCAAACACAAGATCCAGGTCCGATTCAACAAAGTACATATATGTCTCTTTACGGTCTATGTTCCATCACTCTCTTAAATTTCACACTTAACGTACAATTTAGCAATCTTTGAAATAGCGTAATCTACTAGACAATGCATTAATTGTGTTTTAACCGACCGTCTGTGTTGCTTTATATAGTTTCCAAATTTTGCTAAACCCTGTTTGATTTAGTGTGCTCCGTCTCTCTCTGTGTCCCCTGGTGTGTCTGTGTTAATTCCCTCTACTTAAGGTCTGTATATATATCTGCGGTTATGTGTTTCCTCTCTCTCTTAAATTTAGCTCTTCTGTACCTGATGATGATTGCTTGTGTTGCAATCGAAACGTCGTATGCTATTATATAATTGTATTTGTATTATTTCTACGTGACTTTACCGAAAAAAAAACAAAGAGTACAGTACATAAAGTTCGTGATCTGATCCCATCTGTGAAGGATGTGATTCCTCACATGCAATACCCCGGTGTCTACAAATTAAGTTGTGCCTGCGGCAGTAGTTACATTGGAGAAAGCAAGCGACATGTCTCAGACCATTTTCGTGAACACAAGGTGGATCTGAAACACGGTAGGACTAATACATCTGCCGTAGCTGATCATTGTTTCAACGCTGTGGGCACACATGAAATTGAATTATCCAAGACGAAGGTATTATGCAAATCCACTGGCTTTCAACAAAGATTTGTTCATGAAGCCATCCAGATATATAAACACAGACACAATTTCAACCGAGATGGGTAAAAACCTAGCAATCATTGGAAGGACGTTATTAACCAGGTAAAGTCATCACTGGCTGTGATGCTTCCATCCTACCTGCCTATGTTAGCAGTTATTTCCGACTCTCTGAGTTACATTACCTTGTTAAATGTCTTTACATCAACAGGCTAAATGTCTCACTAACATAGCTGCTGCTCCCTTTTCCTCGATGTGGTGGTGGCGCTCGTTGTTTAATAGGCTGAATGTCTCTCATTAACACAGCCGCTGCTGCGGGAGCCGTCTCACATTGACACGCTGATCTCTAATCTCGAGCAATACAATGGCTTCTTCAGCACCGTAGTCATGGGGTTACATTAACACATTGACATGCTAATCTCTAATCTCTAGCAATACAATGGCTTCTTCAGCACCGTAACCGTGGGGTTACGTTAACAGATTGACATGCTAATCTCTAATCTCGAGCAATACAATGGCTTCTTCAGCACCGTAACCGTGGGGTTACGTTAACAGATTGACATGCTAATCTCTAATCTCTAGCAATACAATGGCTTCTTCAGCATCGTCACCGTGGGGTTACATTAACAGATTGACATGCTAATCTCTAATCTCTAGCAATACAATGGCTTCTTCAGCATCGTCACCGTGGGGTTACATTAACACATTGACATTCTAATCTCTAATCTCGAGCAATACAATGGCTTCTTCAGTACCGGAGCTGTGGGGTTACATTAACAGATTGACATGCTAGTCTCTAATCTCTAGCAATACAATGGCTTCTTCAGCACCGTAACCGTGGGGTTACATTAACACATTGACATGCTAATCTCTAATCTCGAGCAATACAATGGCTTTTTCAGCACCGGAGCTGTGGGGTTACATTAACACATTGACATGCTAATCTCTAGCAACACAAGAGCCGAGGTGTACCGAGCTCTGCGATCTTACATTTATTTGCAAATTCCATCTCTAGCCCCACCCACTTACCCTTGGGTTGTACCCATCTCAAACCTATATAACCTCTTGCTGCAGTAGTTATCTCGCTATATTTCTCCTGCCTCAGCAGTTCGCCTGCTGTATTTTTTCACCTGAAGACGATTGCTTGTGTTGCGATCGAAATGTCGTGATTTTTATTTATATTTTTCCATCTATGTGACTTTACAGAAAGACCCAGAAAGTAGAATGGTCTGTTTGGAAGTGAAGTAACAAAACGCACGTGTTCGTGTGTGTATGCTGAAATGTATTAATAAACCTGATCCACAAATCCATTTCCCAGAGACAGGTGCTCTGACGGGTAAGTGGCAAAAACTCCAGCCAGCTGAATTGTGTAGTTCCCATTGGCGGCGAACAGGAAGGCATCTGCAATACAATGACAATGTTAAAAGCCAATGTTGCTCATTGATATCGATTAGAATAAGGAAGAAGATAATTAGACAGACACTACTGATTAAATGTTTGCTGTTAAATAACCTTTAAACATTAGGGGCCCGATATTCGTGTGATGGAAATTTCCACCGATTACACGAAGCATTCAGAAAGTAAAATATTTGAATTTCTTGATACATTCTGGACCTTTACAAATTACACGAATAATAAATGTGTAAAAACTATTGAATATCGTTATCATCATTTTGGTCATCATCCATTTCCCCAGTGGACGGAGTTTTGGGATGCGTTCCATTCCTTGACTGCCACTCCATCACTATTCTTGACCACCGGTCATCGTCTTTTCTATCAACATGCCCGGCCCAAGCCTACTCCCTTTTGTTAACGGTTCCGATGATGTCATTAACCTGTGAATGCTATCGAATTAACGTGTTGCTCTTTGTGTCTGTCCATGTAATTTCAACTGCAGGCGGAATAAAATAAAAACGATGAAACAAAGAGGCGGATGAGAGCACAGTGAGGTGCTTTGGGAAGCTGAACTTGACAATAAAAAGCAACACAGCAATGCGCCTAGGGAAGGGAACTTTCCACCATTGCATATTACTTGCTGTGACATGGTTCAGAAAAAAATGTAATTGACTAAAATGGAATAAAATCTAAACAGTGCATAAAGAAGCCTGGGGAGATACATGCTTGGAATTACGTGGACAGACACAGATAGGAGCACGTGAATTAGAGAACATATGAAGGTTAATGCCATTATCAAAAATGTGAAGCTTGGAACTTGCCAGGACACACATGCGATGATGACCAATGGTCAAGAATAATAATGGAGTGGCAGCCAAGGAATGGAACGCGTTCAAGAGGATGACCACGGAGGAGATCGAGCAATGAGATCAGTTCGTGTGAGGGTGCACGGTGGATTACACTCGTTTACAGCCAAAATGCTTCGGAAATAAATGTAGTCCAACTTTACTAATTCTGGGTCACTGAGAATGAAAATGATGCTCAAAATTGTTGATTGGCTCTAGTTTTCAAAATATGCTAACGGGTCAGTATATACGACCCTTGACTTGGGAATGGCGGAGGATACGTGAGTTATAAAGGGAAGGGATCTCAATTTCATCCAGAAATGAATAAAATACATATTTGACTAAATCTATGAATAAATCTATGACTGGGTATGGACAGTACTTGATTTTTTTGCAAAACAATGAATGATGCAATCTGAACCTGGTATTGCATCATACATGACATGAATTGCATCATGTTATTCTTAGAAGTCATAGATGATGCATTAATAACTAGGCTTACATCCCTCTGATGAACAAATGCCCTATATCAGCTCTATAAATCATGCAGTGTCGTGCTCTCTTATTTGTCGGTGTTTGCTTTTGCAAAGGGACACATTTCTGTTTAGCCAAAGTGAGCAGAGATGTCTTGTACTTGTGTGAACAAAGCAGATAACTTCTGCTATGTTTGTGGTTAAGTGACTTTTGCATCACAAAAGCGCAGTATAACCACTATGGTTAAGAAAGCCTATCACCTTTATTTTGGCTGCAAAATTGGAGATCAGGACAAGATATGGGCCCCACATATAAGCTGCAACACTTGTGTAGTGTGGTGTTTATTCACGCAGACAACTTCATCTTTTCTCCTGTGTCACTGTATTCACAGCATCCCACACGGATGCTCTTCTTGTTCAACACCACGTACTCCTGTCGCGAACTCTTCCTCTGCTAGCCTACTAATTCGAGCTTACTCTCTATTGCTCTGTGAGCCTATTACTCCCCGCTCTCTGTATAATCTGCTAGCTTCTCACCCAGATAGCCTCACACTCAGACTAAAGATTCCGCTCGCCTCTCCACTGCTAGCCTGTCTACACCCACACCTCCAACCTCGCCCGTTCCCCCAGCGGGGGTTCAGCCAACACCGCTGGGGAGGACGAGGTGTGGAAGGCGAGGTCCCGGACTTCTCTTGAATCTCTTCACTGCTTCATCTCCACCCAACTCCACCCAACTCCACCAAACTGCCTCACACGTTCCCCTTATATCCCCCTCCTTATTAAGTGCCCTCAGATGGCCCTCATCAAGCCAGCATCTTTCCGACGTCTCTCCCACGTGTTCTCCCCCTTATCGCCTTTGTCTCTCGCCTCCGTGACGCCGACCCCGCGTTTGCATTTGCAGCCAGCCAACCACTGCCTCTTTCCCTAATTGCTGGCGTCTCTCTGTCTGCTGTCACCCAGTCCATCCGCCTGCACTGCTTATCCTGAGCTGACCTCACTGTTTGCAACCCTGTGCATGAATGCAACTGATGTTTGCAAACCCTGCACGCGTTACACCACTACATTTGTGCAACAAATCTTTGCCAGTGGTTGAACAGGAAAAGGAAATATATGCCTTTTGCAGTACCAATGATTTGGAGAGAGCCAACAGATCATATCAGCAATTGTTACTTCTGCAAGGCGCCTCCAGTTGGAAAAGGTGTGTCAAAGAAGAAAAAGTGGACTGTGCATTATCTAAACATTCCATAAGCTATATGCCCAGTACCCCACGGAAAAGAACTGCCGGTTCCTGATGCACCAGAGTCACTCACACTTGAGTCAGACGAGGAAGAGTTTTAAACTTCTGGTCCTGAACCATCAAGGTCACATGACCCAGATTTTATCCCATCCTCCTCCTCTGAACCACACCTCATAACACAAGGTGAACTGAAAGACGTCAGGGATTTGGAACTACCCAAGAGTAAGGCAGAGCTGTTGGGCTCCAGACTGCAGCAGTGGAATCTCCTGGCAGGTGATGTTTGAGAAAAGATGTCATGGAAAGCCTTCCAGTTAGTGGCAACACATTTTCTCGGAAAAAAACAAGGCATACAACTACAGGAAGTTGTTGGAAAACCTCCTCAAGGCATACTGAAGGCTTGGTTGCAACATGTCACTAAAAATAAATTTTTTGCACTCTCTTGATTTTTTCCCACCAAATTGCAGAGGAGAGAGCGAAGAGCATGGCAAGCGATTTCACCAGGACATTGCAACAATGGAGAAAAGCTGTCAGGGAAAATGGAACCCATCAATGCTTGGAGACTATTGCTGGACAGTGACAAGAGATGCTCCATTGAATGAATACTAGAGACAAGCCAAGAAGCGCCAAAGACTAAACTCTGTACTTATATATACATAATAGTTTTTTGCCTTTTCTTTAATAATACATTTTATTTATATAATACTTTTTCAGATTTTTTTAAAAGAGCTAGGTTTAAAATGTATGAGTAAAACGCTACTATTTACACAATATACATAGACGTAAAATGTAAAAACTTAAATATCTTGGGAACAGTAGCCAATCAGTTGTTTTAATAATCATATATGAATTCAGCACATCAAAATCCATAATAAACAGCACAATTAATCTCTGAAGCAGATGACGTCTAAAAAATTGTAGGACAGTGTTATTATATCGCAGGATTGTGAGGCGCTGCCACCCTGCCACGCAAGTAAAGAAATGCGGTGTAATCTCACCATAATACAGTCCGAACACGGTGCCTGCGCCCATGAAAGCTCCGAGGAGCTGAGCCAGCATGTAGAGAGGTAACTTGTGCCATTCGAAGCGACCCAGAACGGCAAACGCAAATGTAACGGCTGGGTTCAGGTGTCCACCTGGCAATGCACACAGGGGCAGGTGGGGGAGAACACGGCGAGTCTCTCAACGTCTGGCTTAACAGTGGACTTATATTGTCACAATCACCCAAGTGCTGTGCGAGTGAAGTGCTAAGGAAGACAGTTAAAATTCCGTCCGCTATTCGCCCAGGAGAGCCTCACTGAGTCTCAAGACTCTTTCAGGAGGGCCCTGCCAAGTAGTAATACTGCCGCACACGAGTTGCTTACTCTCGCAGAGAGAGTGAGTCAGAGGCGCGAGGAACCACAGACAAGCAGCAAGGCAGCCACGCCGTGAGCCAGCACAAGCTCTGCGGTCCTCTATTTATGAAGGTGTTATCTATTTATGAAGGTGTTATCTATTTATGAAAGTGGTATTTATTTATGAAGGTGTTATCTATTTATGAAAGTGTTATTTATTTATGAAGGTGTTATCTATTTATGAAGGCATTATCTATTTATGAAGGTATTATATATTTATGAAGGTGTTCTCTATTTATGAAGGTGTTATCTATTTATGAAGGCGTTATCTATTTATGAAGGCGTTATCTATTTATGAAGGTGTTATCTATTTATGAAGGTTATCTATTCATGAAGGTGTTATCTATTTATGAAGGTGTTATCTATTTATGAAGGCATTATCTCTTTATAAAGGTATTATCAATTTATGAAGGTTATCTATTCATGAAGGTGTTATCTATTTATGGTGTTATCTATTTATGAAGGCATTATCTATTTATAAAGGTATTATCTATTTATGAAGGTGTTATCTTTTTATGAAGGTGTTATCTATTTATGAAGGTGTTATCTATTTATGAAGTTGTTATCTATTTATGAAAGTGTTATCTATTTATGAAGGTATTATCTATTTATGAAGGTATTATCTATTTATGAAGGTGTTCTCTATTTATGAAGGTGTTATCTATTTATGAAGGTGTTATCTATTTATGAAGGTGTTATCTATTTATGAAGGTGTTATCTATTTATGAAAGTGTTATGTATTTATGAAGGTGTTATCTATTTATGAAAGTGTTATCTATTTATGAAGGTGTTATCTATTTATGAAGGTATTATCTATTCATGAAGGTGTTATCTATTTATGAAGGTGTTCTCTATTTATAAAGGTATCTATTCATGAAGGTGTTATCTATTTATGAAGGTGTTATCTATTTATGAAGGTGTTATCTATTTATGAAGGTGTTATCTATTTATGAAGGAATTATCTCTTTATAAAGGTATTATCAATTTATGAAGGTTATCTATTCATGAAGGTGTTATCTATTTATGGTGTTATCTATTTATGAAGGCATTATCTATTTATAAAGGTATTATCTATTTATGAAGGTGTTATCTTTTTATGAAGGTGTTATCTATTTATGAAGGTGTTATCTATTTATGAAGTTGTTATCTATTTATGAAAGTGTTATCTATTTATGAAGGTATTATCTATTTATGAAGGTATTATCTATTTATGAAGGTGTTCTCTATTTATGAAGGTGTTATCTATTTATGAAGGTGTTATCTATTTATGAAGGTGTTATCTATTTATGAAGGTGTTATCTATTTATGAAAGTGTTATGTATTTATGAAGGTGTTATCTATTTATGAAAGTGTTATCTATTTATGAAGGTGTTATCTATTTATGAAGGTATTATCTATTCATGAAGGTGTTATCTATTTATGAAGGTGTTCTCTATTTATAAAGGTATCTATTCATGAAGGTGTTATCTATTTATGAAGGTGTTATCTATTTATGAAGGTGTTATCTATTTATGAAGGTGTTATCTATTCATGAAGGTGTTATGTATTTATGAAGGTGTTATCTACTTATGAAAGTGTTATCTATTTATGAAGGCGTTATCTATTTATGAAGGCGTTATCTATTTATGAAGGCGTTATCTATTTATGAAGGTGTTATCTATTTATGAAGGTTATCTATTCATGAAGGTGTTATCTATTTATGAAGGTGTTATCTATTTATGAAAGTCTTATCTATTTATGAAGGCATTATCTATTTATAAAGGTATTATCTATTTATGAAGGTGTTATCTATTTATGAAGGTGTTATCTATTTATGAAGGCATTATCTATTTATAAAGGTATTATCTATTCATGAAGGTGTTATCTATTTATGAAGGTGTTATCTATATATGAAGGTGTTATGTATTTATGAAGGTGTTATCTATTCATGAAGGCGTTATCTATTCATGAAGGTGTTATCTATTTATGAAGGTATTATGTATTTATGAAGGTGTTATCTATTTATGAAGGTGTTATCTATTTATGAAGGTGTTATCTATTTATGAAGGTGTTATCTATTTATGAAGGTGTTATCTATTTATGAAGGTGTTATGTATTTATGAAGGTGTTATCTATTTATGAAGGCGTTATCTATTTATGAAGGTGTTATCTATTTATGAAGGTGTTATCTATTTATGAAGGTATTATCTATTTATGAAGGTGTTATCTATTTATGAAGGTGTTATCTATTTATGAAGGTGTTATCTTTTTATGAAGGTGTTATCTATTTATGAAGGTATTATCTATTTATGAAGGTGTAATCTATTTATGAAGGTGTTATCTATTTATGAAGGTGTTATCTATTTATGAAGGTATTATCTATTTATGAAGGTGTTATCTATTTATGAAGGTGTTATCGGTCAACGTATGCGTGTTTACGTGTGGGAGGAAACCAGAACATCCGTACAACACCCACACGTGCGGAGGGGGGAAACTCACTATCCCATACAGACAGAACGAGTGGAGTCCACACTTTTGCTCTACGTGTACTGCATTCTCCTGGCAAACCAGGGTATAGCTCCTCTCCGACGCCCACGTGAAGGTAGTTTCACAACATTTGTGTTTGATTCACAAACCCTCGCTGCCTTGGCAGCGCCGAATTCACAGGCCACGTGCATAACCAGCACCGCCCGGCTAAGTATTTGCATTAAGAGGCGATGTTTCTCTGTGCAATTGAGTTATTCCCAGGTAATTATTCAGCACTGGGAAGTTTGGCCAACACCATTTAGATTGGATGCGTCTTTCGTTTGTTTAGGTAACGGAGGCATCCCGTGCAGAACAGGGATGAACAAACAATCTCCACACCAGAAGGGGACTCGAGTCGCAATGGAACCCAGGCCCTTCATGCAGTGAGGCACGGGTGCCACCACTGTGGCCCCCTGCCGCTCTCTCATGAACACACGTTTCGCATTCACCGGGCGACACTCGAGCAGACGGCCAATTCTGTAGTTATACTTGTCATGACGGAGAAGCGGAGGACGAGTGTCGTGTGACGTGCGATTGAAATGACGCGGGGGTGTTCAGTTTCAGTTTTCAGTTTATTTATTTTGGTATAGCCCTGTGAGCCATTCGGCTCTTGAATCGGGTGCAACCACAACAAACAAAAAAACAAAAACACGAACAAGAAAACATCTTAAAGTGACTTTGTGACTGTGCAAACAGAAAATCCATGAAAAAAAACAGCAAAATATTCCTGAAAAAAGCACCGTACACCAACGCTGTGTGCAAAAAATCCCAGTGGGATGCAAGTCAAACAACAACAACAACCACAAGAAAACTTAGATTAAGGCCATCAGTCTAACTCCGTACTACAAAAAAACATGTACAAACCAAAAAACGTTTTCGAAATCACCAAAAAATAAAGCCATAATTGCAACGTAACAGTGATCATAGGGACTGTGACTGAATTTTTACAATAAACTACATAAATAACATGTAACACCAAATCCTAGAGCCATAGCTGGCTGCATGAGTCACTCCACAACAACAGGAGCATCAGTCGGAGTATCAAATTTTTCAATGCACCTTTAAGATCAGCACACTAAATCAAAATGCAGATAATACTTTGCAGCGTCATCCGGAGCGAAACATTTTATTCTATTTTACGCCAATGAATAGCAGTGGCAGCTAGGGGCGTACAACTCAAGCGGCATGCGGCGCAGTTAGCTCCTGTGCATCGAGCGCGTACCTGAAACGCCTGCAGCGGCGTGCAGTCCCATGGTGACCGCAAACCCAAAGGCGAGGTTGATCGTGAGGAACTGCCCCTTGAGTCCTCCACTCAATTCAACCTGCGCCACCGAGCCACACCCAAACAACTGCCAGAGCAGCGAAGGCGGAGACGGAGCGGCGAGTTAGCGTCATAAAAGCGCGAGCAAAAATACAAACGATTCATTACGATACAACTTGTTTACCCAGGAAAGCCTCACCGAGTTTGAACACCCTGTTTTACGTGGTGTGTAGTCCCAATTGAGTCATTTGCAAGTAATTTATTGTATTGGGATGTTTGGCCAATACCAGTTACAATGTGAGTTGTCTTAGCTATAAGATTAAAGTGAGGAACCTGGAGGGAACCCCTTGTAGAACAGGGGGAGAACATAAGGATCCACACAGAAAGGCACCCATGTGGGGAGTCGAATACGTTGATCTGATATCGTTTCTTACACGGCTTTCCACTCACAACTAAGCATAAATGACAACTCGGGACGGAGAGTTGATGATCGAACATGATTCTTATTGCTGACAGGTTTTGAACTCGTCGCGAGTCACTTACAACCAGAATGTACGTCCCCACGAACTCTGCCATCGCCTCGCAGACAAGCGTATTTCGGATGAACAGCCTCCGCTGCAGCCTCTTAATTCGCCCCTCTACCACCGGCATCGTCTCCTGCACGCAGCACAGGGCATTGGGATTGGGATCCGAGGATGGAATGCGCATTATACATTTGAATTATTATTATTATTATTAAGATTAGGGCTCACCACCCTGGTTGGTCTAAGAGCAGGGCTCACCACCCTGGTTGGTCTAAGAGCAGGGCTCACCACCCTGGTTGGTCTAAGAGCAGGGCTCACCACCCTGGTTGGTCTAAGAGCGACGCTCACCACCCTGGTTGGTTTAAGAGCAGTGCTCACCACCCTGGTTGGTCTAAGAGCAGGGCTCACCACCCTGGTTGGTCTAAGAGCAGGGCTCACCACCCCGGTTGGTCTAAGAGGAGGGCTCACCACCCCGGTTGGTCTAAGAGCAGGGCTCACCACCCTGGTTGGTCTTAGAGCAGGGCCCACAACCCTGGTTGGTCTAAGAGCAGCGCTCACCACCCCGGTTGGTCTAAGAGCAGCGCTCACCACCCCGGTTGGTCTAAGAGTGGAGCACCCGTAGAAAACCCACGCATGCGAGGGAGAAACACTCTATCCCATAGGGATGGAACAGGTGGCATCCACATTTTTGCAGTACCGTCTTCTCATGAGGAGCCAAGGCAGGGCGCCTCCTCGTCGCCCAGGGGAAGGGAGTTTCACAACATTTATGCAATCCACCAACCCTCGACACTGCTTCCACCGTGCTGGATTAGATGTGTGCGCAGCCACCGCCGCCTGGTTAAATGAGATGCTCCATCTCAAGGGATTTTCCAGGTGAAGAATTGAAAACAATGAAAATAAAAAAAACCCATATAAATGAGATGTCAATTGCGGGTGCTCGTGTTGCGTCCGCATCGCCTTTCCGCACGGCAGTGACTCGACCAACATAATCAGCAACGTCCACGCACTTGTGTGGACTAAATCTGGCGCATGTAACAATGAAATCTTAATTTAAAAATTTCACCTGGGAAATCACCTGGAGATGGAGGAATATCTCGTTTTAAGCCGTTTGCGGTGTCAAATGACACGTTAAAACGCGTGGGCAAACTTTTAAAACCATAACGCCTATGGCGTGAATTTACACGGTGACTATCGCACCCAGTCCAATACCTTTAATAAATAAATAACGCTGTGAAACGATGCACACAGCATGGTAACATTGCGTGTGCCTTTACAGAGAGAGGACGGCTCACAAGAGATCGTGAGATGGGTGGAACGGGCCATGCTGGCGACACCCCACTGCCATCAGGCATAGATATATTTTGAGGCTATATTTGAAAGCATTATTCGTTAAATCGATTAAAAAAGTTCAATGAAGTTGCCAGCAAAATCAGTAAAATGTAGTTTCACACTGCATTTGTTGATATAAAGTACAACTGATCGAAAGTGTTCCAGATAAAAAATTCTAAATAATTTGAGAAAACCTATAATTATAATACAGAGGGTAGAGTGTCTCTGTGGTGCAGCGTGTGATTTTTGTTCGTGAACAATTTAATTTTTCTATATTATGAAAATGATAGAATCAGCACAACAGCATTACCTTTGGTTTTGAAGCGTTGCACTGAAACAACAGCGGCCTCTGTTCCCTCTTGCTGCACGCTTTCAAGCCGTTAGCTGTGTTAGGGGCATGCGGCTACTACTGCTGCTGATTGCTACTTGCTGCTGCTGCTGTTGGTATAAGTAGTACCAGGCAGCGCGCACCCATTGGATGCTCGCTAACAAAATAGGTTAATTTACATGTCCGCCCACAGAGCTTATATAATAATTTATCCGTGGGTTTTTGGTAACTCGACATCAGCTGCGTTCAACGGTAGAAATCAAAAACGTGTGTGTGTGCAGGAATCCATACTCTTTGGTTCTTCCGGTAAAGTCACGTAGGTATAAAATAAAATAAATCACGACGTTTTGGGCGCAACACAAGCGGACATCATCAGGTGGGAAAGCATGGTCTGCAGCAGCAGACGGCCGAAACGTCATGATTTATTTTATTTTATACCTACGTGACTTTACCGAAAGAACCAAAGAGTACGTGTGTGTGTGTGTTCATTCAGACGGAGCGAATTGTGGGGGCGTGAGAGAAGCGTTTATTAGGAGGGCTCATTGCTACGAATTATGGTAACACAGCCCATGTATCAGTGCAGTGTTGAATGCAAGCCTATCGCAATCAATCCAACACCGAACTCTTCATAATACAGAGTTTTGGGTTAGATCGCGTAAATATAAATGTCGTTAACCTACCACCACCCGACACAGCCAATCAATGAGGTTTGTCAGTAAACAAACGTGCCAATTAGATACTACTTCACCACAACGGTGTGTTGGAGAGTAAACCCACAACATTTATAATTTGAGTACGACGTTTTTCTGGTGATTAGAACCAGCTTCATCAGGCGACTTGCCGGAATTGTGAGGAAATTTTCGTGCTGCTGCTCTTAAACAGAGTTTGCTAAATGAAAATCGTAAAAAAAAAATTAACTTCCCTGCCTCTCAGTGACGAGCCATGAAAATGTATCCACAGATTAAGTTGAATATAATTTTTTTCTTCATTTGAAAAGTATCGGCAAATTACTTTCCTGAGATCACACAGGGCAGTAATCATCGCCCCCAATTAGCAGACTAACGCTCACTTGCAGGCCGGTGCAAAGTCATCTTGTGTTGCACAGGGTCAGCCGCCACTTGAAGTGCCCTTCAAATATGTGAGATGTCATGCAAGTTGCTTTGAGTTACTGAGGCATTCAAGCAAGTGCATATACATGTAAAATTGTTATATATTGATACATCTGTAAAACGTGGATTATAGGAAGATTCCATCTGCATATGAAAGTTTTTGTGAAACTTTTCATATTCTTGATTCTTTCGGTAAAGTCACGTAGAAGGGAAACAATAAAATAATAAAAATATAAAACAATTAAATTATCACGAAGTTTCGACTGCAACACAAGCAAGAAAATTTGAAAAAAGAGGAGGGGGGAGACGAAAATAATGGATGCGGTCTGAAAGCCACCGTAAGCGTGAACAATCAATTAAGACCCGAAATGGTTGATCAAATCCTTCCAATGATTGCTAAGCCAGAATCCATCTTCTCGGTTGAAGATTTGATAAACCATTTCGGGTCTTAATTGATTGTTCATGCTTACGGTGGCTTTCAGACCGCATCCATTATTTACGTTTTCCCCCTCTTTTCCGAACATAGATGGACTCGTCCATCTGAATAACTGCCAAATCGCTCTCTGTGGTGCTAACGTAAAAAAAAAACCCGCCACTTTTTTCAAAATTTCTTGCTGTGGTTTTCACATCTGATGATGATTGCTTGTGTTGCAGACGAAACGTCGTGAGAATTGTATTTTTTATATTTGTATTCTTTCATTGTTTCCCTTCTACTTGACTTTACCGAAAGAACCAAGAATATGAATCCCTGCAGTCACGAAAGCTTTAAATAAAAATTTAAACTCTTCATAGTTAATTTCCCAGCAATTGCAATGTGGCCACACAAACAAGCAAACAGCTTGCAGCCAATAAGTAGCTGGGGCAGGGCCAAGGGGAATTTGAACTGTGGCCTTCAACCAGAAGTGGATGCTGATGGCCACCTCATCGCCGTCATGATATATATCTCCACCGCTGGATGAAGCCCTCACCGCATCCATCATTTTGGCCTATGTGTGCCGAGGCTGCTCTGTGGCCACATGCTTCCCCCTGATTCAGGAATAGAAGTGTGTACGATTCCATAGCTTCCATTGCATGCTTTGCTCGGTGCTTAACTGCCACCACAGGCCAATCGCATTGAACCTTTTGCCAATGGCGGGAACATAACTGCACTATGTAACACAATTTTTGTTCCTGGGTAGTAAAGTGTTATTTTCTAATTGCGTATGCCTCAAAAGCATAGAAAATGGATATTATTCATCACAAACTTTGCTTTTGTGACCAGGACTTTATGTGAAGGAATATAACACAAGTGCACACCACGTTTTCTCATTGAAAATAGGTACATTTAAAAATATCAATGTCCTGGTCACAAAAGCAAAGTTTGTGGGGAATAATAGACATTTTCTGTGCTTTTGAAGCATAAGCAATTAGGAAATAACACTCATTACCCAGGAACAAAAAAGAAAACATTTGTTATACAGTGTTATTAATGGAGTGGATTATTAAGGAACTGGTCTAGAGCAAGCCGGCCATGTGACCAGATGACAAAAGTTTCCCTTCTACGTGACTTTACCGAAAGAACCAAGAATATGAACCCCTGCAGTCACGAAAGCTTTCAATCAAAAGCTAAACATATGATGAATAAAAACAATATTTGGCCACACCAAAGACAAAACAAAGCTGCAGGAACAACGCCAATTTCACCTTGAAAAGACACTCAACCAACCAAAGTTTGTGGGGAATAATCATAGCCATTTTCTGTACTTTTGAGGCATAAGCAATTGGAAAATAACACTTACTACCCAGGAACAATTTTTTTGTTACATATATAATCCTTGCTGATTACTGGCCTTATGCCGGAAGCCCGGTTAGTCCCGTTAGGCTTAAGTAGGCGAAAATTTGGCCCATTTTGGGCACTTAGCAGCAGGCTGAAGGTGTCGGTAAATGTTCATGTCTCCCGACTGCCAGAATCGGACCGTTTCCACCTGTTTCCGCGAGTGGCGAGTACGACCAGTGGAGTTAAACGATCTGGAATCGCGGTCCTGGAGTACAACAACAATGACACAAAAAATGCCAAACAAAGCTAAACATATTCTTGGTTCTTTCGGTAAAGTCACGTAGAAGGGAAACAATAAAATAATAAAATATAAAACAATACAATTCTCACGACGTTTCGACTGGAACACAAGCAATCATCATCTGGTGTGAAAACCACAGCAAGAAATTTTGAAAAAAGTGGCGTTTTTTTTAACGTTAGCACCACGGAGAGCGATTTTGCAGTTTGTTCAGATGGACGAGTCCATCTATGTTCGGAAAAGAGGAGGGGGGAGACGAAAATAATGGATGCGGTCTGAAAGCCACCGCCAGCGTGAACAATCAATTAATATCCCCGAAATGGTTGATCAAATCCTCCCAATGATTGCTAAGCCAGAATCCATCTTCTCGGTTGAAATTGTACGTGTTTGTATATGTGGATAGCCTCATGAACGCATCTCTCATGGTAGTCAGATGGCTTGCAGAGAACCTCTGTCTTGGAGAAGTCAATGTCATGTGAGCCTACTGAATTATAACAGTGATCTGCCACGGCCGAGGTGTTGGTCCTACCGTGTTTTAGGTCTGCTTGTGTTCACGGATGCGGTCCGAGACATGTCGTTTGATTTAGCCAATGTAACTACTACCACAGAGGCAACTTAGTTTGTAGATGCCAGGGTACTGTATATCCGGAATCACATCTTTTACAGACGGAACCAGATCACGGATTTTATGTAATGTGTTGAATCGGACCTGGATCTTGTGTTTATTCAAGATTTTGGAGATCTTTTTTGTGATCCCCGCAATGTAGGGTAAAGTGATGGTTTTGAATCGCTCCTCAAGAGGGTCCTTCTTCATGGTTGGAGTGATAGCTTTGCAGACTATGTAGTTGGAGTAACCATTAGCCTTAAGAGCTTGGTGTACGTGCTTGAGTTCACTGGCTATGTGTTCCTGGTCGGATATGCATTGTTCTCTATGGTGCAGAGTCTTGATGAGGGAATTCTTCTGGGATGGATGGTGGTGGGAATCCGGTTTCAGGTAAGCATCCGTATGGGTAGCTTTCCTGTAGACAGAGTGGCTCATTGAACCATCAGGTCTCTTTTTTATTAGGACATCCGCAAAAGGTAGCTTGCCATCTTTTTCGACTTCCATGGTAAATCTGATGGCTGGGTGTATGGAATTCATGTGGTCAAGGAACTGGTCTAGAGCAAGCCGGCCATGTGACCAGATGACAAAAGTTTCCCTTCTACGTGACTTTACCGAAAGAACCAAGAATATGAACCCCTGCAGTCACGAAAGCTTTCAATCAAAAGCTAAACATATGATGAATAAAAACAATATTTGGCCACACCAAAGACAAAACAAAGCTGCAGGAACAACGCCAATTTCACCTTGAAAAGACACTCAACCAACCTATTCACGGGATACACCCAAAAACCATTCGAGTGCGACAGTGTGTCTGAAGATATACAACTCAGAAAATAACTCCAGTTATTCAGAACGCAACGGACAGCAAAGCACTCACTTGTTTCGCCTACAAACATTGGGTGAAAATAAATGGATGACCTCTCTGCCCGAAGCAAATGTCATATTGCTCACAACATTGTAGACTAGACTGGGCATGCCATTCCAGAACATCTTGGCCATTAGGGGAGCAGGGTGACGACTTGAGCTCGGATTGTTATTTGAGCCAGGCTTTTGCGCTTGTTCCAGTGTTTACTTCTTCTCTACTATGGCCTGATTTACACATGAAATAGTGGGAACAGCTTGTTTCTCTGACCTTCAGAAGAAAAATGTTACACCACTGTTGTTATGATTGGTGACTGAAGTATTACATGTGTAATTATGAAAGTAATTTTCGTAATTATACTGATAGATTTTGCTCCAGTTCAGGCATGCTCAAATATTAAATCGAGGTATACGAAATGTGTTATTTACATGGGCGGGATCGATTCGTGTCGTTAATTGCATCTTCAAATCCAGCCTCAAAATGGCAAGCGCAATACACATGCTGTAGTGTACGGCTGTAACATTCCAAAACATTACACTTAAGTGGATTCTGTGGTGATTTCAAACGTGCGTTTTCCTCGGAGGTATTTCATGTGTACAAATGCGCATTACCTGGTATGACATGTGGATTAGAATTATAGAGACTATGGAAGAATATGAAACAAAGAACTGAAAATTGTGCAAACAAGCGTGGAGATTTACACAGGTGGAATGACAGTGAGGAACAGAAAGAGGAACACGTTGATTAGATAACATACACAGATTAACATAATCTTGAAACTCAAAAGAAGTCGGCGAGTTTGGGCAGAGAATGGTCCTTTAAGGCAGTGGTTCTTAACCTGGGGTTCACGCACCCCCTGGGAGTGCGAGATGCCCTTTCTCGGGGTGCGAGACATGGCCAGATTATTTTAGAAAGTAAATAATCGAAACACGAATTAAGCACGGGCACATAAGTACAACAACTACTTTGTTTCATCAAACCCTACGTATTTATTAACATTGTTTTTTTTTACAATTGAGAACCAAAGGAGTGCAAGGCTGCAGTAAATGTGAAGAACCACTATAAACAATGACCGGTGGTCGAGATAAATCGTGGCAGCCAAAGCAGTGAACACACCGGAGCGTGTGCACACCACTTAGAAGCGATGTATCACAGGACCGAGAGGGTTGGTCATGGCATAGAAGCCTCATCGAGCAGTGGACAGATTATTGCCAATGCTTTTTATATATCCTCTATTTTCCTCCACTCTCAATGCAGCTCAATTCAATGGATATTCCATTGTTTAGATTGGTGATATCCGTTTAATTTCACTTCTCATGATTTTTAACTCCCCTGCTTATAGTAAGACATCGCACGGCATTGCTTCAAAGTTGTCGTTCCTTCATTAATCACTCGTACATCCAACAGCAAATGAAATGTGTCGGTGTCCACTGAATCTCTCAAGTCCTGGCACCTGAACTTCAGCTCACGTCTCTACACCGAGTGCCGTGGACTGCCACCGCCGGGCGTCGTTCCTCCTGGTGCAGCCGTGTCGAGAGTCGCCACCGTCGCCGTGCCGCTGCTGCACATTTACACCAGCAGCAGCAGCATCGTTCATTCTTCGCCGACTGTGAAGAGGAAATTAAAAGGCCTCACATCTCTTTCTCCCGGCTTTCTAGTGACACTGAGCTTGGCTCTGCGCCTCAAGTGTTTGTGCATCTGTGTCCGTGAAATGTTGTGCGCGTTAATTGCTTTATTATTCATTAGTTGCTCAACTCTATACCTGGAACGGGAATTTGCACCAAGCCGGACGGATCGCTTTTCTCTCGTAGCCCCGGGTCAGATGAACTCCTTGACTCACGCTCAATTCCCGAATCATTCACTGTGGCTCACTTTGTATTTAATCAAGCAGAATAATTAGCATTGGTCTTGGTTATTACCCTTAGATACACAAGATACTGTATGTAATAAAACACGTACTTTTTGTGTTATGGTATTATGTTTCGATGTATATCAGTGCTTTAATATTCAGTTTTCTCCAGTAGAGGATACCTTTGTAAGCATGTTTTTGGTGGTTGTGTTGCGAGTTGCACAATATAATGACGACAGAGGTGGTGGTAGGATTGGTGACAAGACATACATGTATGCACACGAGTAACCTACAATAATACCAATAGGGCGGATACAGCAGAGTTAATATACTATTTTTTATATTCTTGGTTCTTTCGGTAAAGTCACGTAGAAGGGAAACAAAAAAAATTAAAACAATAAAATTCTCACGACGTTTCGACTGCAACACAAGCCATCATCATCAGGGGTGTGAAAACCACAGCCGTGGTTTTTATTGTTTTATATATTTTTTATTGTTTTATTGTTTCCCTTCTACGTGGTGACTTTACCGAAAGAACCAAGAATATGAATCCCTGCAGTCACGAAAGCTTTAAATCAATACTATTTTTGTTGACGCTGGATATATTTGTTGAAAAGGCACGGCACAGAGGCAGCATCATTTGCCTTGATCTATCTACTGTTGGATGAAGGCCTCCCCAAGCCATCACCATTTATCAAGAGCCCCGTACGGGTCCTGCACAAGGACTCAATTCCTGACTCCCTCTCCGCAGCGGTTGTCCTCTTGGGTGTCGTTCCCCTCCTTTGGGGGCCACTCCGTCAGTAGTCTCGACCACAGGCCACCATCCCTCACAACGATGTGTTTAGTGAGGTTCCACTTTCTTTTCCTGAGTTACAGATGTTTTCTTCGCCATGTGTTTCTCTTCCTCAGTGGCATTCCCAGTCAGCATCTCGTCACACCTCTTTGCACACTTTCCTTCTATTTCATTTGCTTTGTCAACGCAATTAATGAAAATGTCACATGGCAATCAAACACTACCAGTCAAATCCTATCCTGAAAATAAATTTATATTAATGATCCCTAACAATATGCATGTATATTTCATATTCCAATTGTGGTGCTGCATTTACTGATCCGGTGATACAATGTAATCACGTTGCAGTTTTATATTACTGCAAGTGTATAAACTATCAAATACACGCCATCTGCTTCACTCACACATGGTTCAAATTTGGCAAATCGTAAAGATTACCTACGGACTCAATTTGAATCAGACACGGGAATGGCGCCCTCACTGTGAAACTACTGCAGCCTGAAACATAGCACCTCAGTTATAGCCCTGTGCTATAAACTTGGCGCAAATACCAATATAAATTACTTTAAAATGAGAATAGTTTGATAAGTTATAGAAATATACTATAGCGATACGTAAAAATGCCATACTTTATATCTCAAGCATGCAGTTTAACATAAAGGTGATGTTATATCCCTAGTTATTAAAATAGGTCGCCAAACAGATGTCTCATTTTGTCTAAAGGGAATGTACTGTAAGTTTGGCACAAGATCACAAACTTACACGGGCGTGGCTTACCTGGTGATATGAGGCGGGTTTACTCAGTGTTTGTTAAAGTATCGGAATTTTCCATAAAAACCTCATGTCTCGTATTCCTTGAAAAGCAAGTTACAAGTAAGCGAATACAATAGTTGACCGATTTCAACATGGCTTCATTCATCCAAACATCTCATGAGTATATTTAATTTCTGTACATTCAATTACTCAACAGTTGATGTTGTGATTTGATTGGTTGACTCCAAATCAGACGGTTGCAAGTTCAAATCCCAGTCAGGGGTCGAACAACCCTGTTTCTCCTCTTGATCGTGGATGAATAAGCTGTCCTTGCTCGGAAGTCAATAGTGTGATCAACCCTGCCACAGGCTTGTCTGAGGCAGGACACTGTTTGACCGGCTCTTGGCAGAGGTAAATTTATGTAATTTGAAATTGATATACCCATATGTATTGTACGAATTACTTATTTACCCAGGATGGGCTGCAGTGGGCAAGAGGATGCATTTTGAGAGAGCTTAGACCAGGAGTTTCAGCGCTTACCGGTAGATGAAGCAGTGGTGATGGGCGCAGGCTTAAATGGAAGAGTGGGAAGAGGTAAGGACGGACAGGAAAGGAACCATGGAGGATGCGGATATGGCAGTAGGAATACGGGAGGAGAGGACATTCTTCGAATGGCCTAGGCAAATTATCTTGAAGTGGCGAATCCCTACTCCAGAAGCAGGAGGGACATCTGGTGACCTACCAGAGTGGAGAGGTGAACAGCCAGATAGATTTTATTTTGGTGAGGAAGCACCTGAAAGGAGTGAAGAACTACAAAGTAATCCCTGGAGAGTTGTGTGACTGGACAACATTGACTACTTGTGCAGATTGCATAGTGAAAGGAGTTAGAAAGAGAACGGCGAGACAAAATAACTGTAGTAAGGTAAAGTGGTGGCGACTAAACAATGAGAAAGAAATCTTCTGCAGGCAAGCTATGAAGAACTTAAAAAGTGTAAGGCCAAGGAGGAGCGTGAATGAAATGTGGGAACAACTGGCGAGTGGAATACAGAGAGCAGCAGATAGCACAGTGGGAGGGAGTAAAGGAAGACAGATGCAACACAAGGAAACATGGTGGTGGAGTGATGAAGTACAAAAGGCAACAGGAGAGAAAAAGGCTAAGAACAGGTAGAACACGAGAGAGAAGGACCATCTGGATGAATACCTGCGAAAAGAGAGGCAAAGCGAGTGGTAGCAATGGCAAAAATAACAGCTTTTGCACAACTCTACCAGTAGCTTGACAACAAAGAAGGCGAGATGGTATACCGTTTGGCAAAAGCCAAAGAGAGAAAGACCATGGACATCGACCACGTGAATCTCGTTAAGAACAGTGAAGGACGAACAATCTTGGATGAGATAGAGGTTAGAGAGAGATGGAAAGAGTATTCTAGATTTGAAGCTGTCGTGATTGCAAGGATCCATACTCTTTGGTTCTATTCGGTAAAATCACGTAGGTAAAAAATAAAACAGCAAAAATCACGACGTTTTGGCCACAACACAAGTGGCCTTCTTCAGGTGAAGGAACAGAACTGTCGGGACGACAGCACTTCAATGACCGCTGCTAAGATTCGCAGCGTCTTTTAAGCTCGGTGGGAGGAGCAGGGCGCCTTGACAAAGGAGTTTACATATCAAAAATAGCTGTGTTAAAGTGTTGAAGCAGCAGGGTGTTAAAGTCAGAAAATTTGCTGGGGGATCAGCATGTTTTTGTGTAGAGGGTGCGGAGGATGGGTCACTGTGTGTGTGCAATAGAAACGGAAAAAATTCAAGGTCGTCAAGAATGTGCTGTCAGGGGAGAGTAGAAAAAAGGGTTTAATAGAAAGTTCGGAAGGAATATGCTTGGTATACCATTCAAATTAAGCAACCATTGGAAAGACGTTTTAAATCATACCAAACGTCAACTAATTTCTAACAGCAATTTTAAGTACTGGTATACCAAGCATATTCCTTCCGAACTTTCTCTTAAACCCTTTTTTTACTCTCCCCTGACAGCACATTCTTGCCGACCTTTAATTTTTTCCGTTTCTATTGCACACACACAGTGACCCATCCTCCGCACCCTCTACACAAAAACATGCTAATCCCCCAGCTAATTTTCTGACTGTAACACCCTGCTGCTTCAACACTTTAACACAGCTATTTTTGATATCTAAACTCCTTTGTCAAGGCGCCCTGCTCCTCCCACCGAGCTTAAAAGACGCTGCGAATCTTAGCAGCGGTCATTGAAGTGCTGTCGTCCCGACAGTTCTGTTCCTTCACCTGAAGGCCACTTGTGTTGTGGCCGAAACGTCGTGATTTTTGTTGTTTTATTTTTTACCTGCGTGACTTTACCGAATAGAACCACAGAGTATGGAAAGAGTACTTTGCGAAGTTGCTGAATGTGGAAAACCCAAGATGGGAAATGGTTGAGTAACATCAAATAATTAAAGTAGTTGCAGATACTATAACCAGAGAAAAGGTGGTGGAGGCTCTGGGAAGCATGGAACATCATAAGGCAGTGGAGCCAGACGAGATTCCAATGTGTTTAAATTAATGGGAGAAAAGGGTGTTGAAATATTGATGGGGCTGTTTTGTAAAATCTGGATGGAGAAGGAAATGCCGGATGCATGGAGAGAGAGTACCTTGGTTCCCATTTTTAAAGGGAAAGGTGAGGTACAAGAGTGTGGGAACGACAGAGGAATAGCATTGATGAGTCACACCATGAAACTTTGGGAAAGGATCATACAAAGGAGACTGAGGAAGCTGGTGGATATTGGCAAGAGCCAGTTTGGATTCAGACAGGGAAGGCCAACAATGGATGCAATCTTTGCACTGAGAGTATTGATGGAGAAGTTAAGAGAAGAAACGGGACCTGAATATGGTGTTTATTCATCTAGAGAAAGCGTACGACAGGGTGCCGAGAGCTCATCTGGTGGTGTATGAGAAGAAGAGGTATTCCTGAGGTATATGTCCAGCTGATCCAGGATATGTATGAAGGAGGGATAATGCAAGTGCAAAGCAGCTGTGGAGTGTCGGAGAGCTTTAAATTCAAAGCGGGAGTGAAGCAAAGATCCGCCCTGAGCCCCTTCCTTTTCATCCTGGTGCTGGACACACTTACGAGGGATATATATATTCAGAGCCCCCGTGGTGTATGCTGTTTGCAGACAACATAGTGCTATGCAGTGAAAGCAGAGGGCTAGTGGAAGATGATTTGAAGATCTGGGTGCAAAATATTGAAGGGAATGGGTTGAGGATCAGTCGGACAAAGACCGAGTATATGGTGGCAAATTTCAGTGGAAATAATGCAGGAGGATTGCAAATTTGAAGTGACCAGTTAATGAAGAGGAACGAGTTTAAGTACCTGGGTGCAACGACGTGGTGCTGATGGATCAACAGAAGGAGAGATGAGCACAGGAACAATGGCTGGATGGCTGAAATGCCGAGAGATGACCGGTGTGGTGTGCGATAAGAGGGTCCTATTTTGGTTGAAGGGAAAAGATGGTGGTGAGGCCGGTGCTTTTGTATGGGGCCGAGTGCTGGGGCACAAGAAAGAGGGAGGACCAAGCGATGTCAGTCACAGAGATGAGGATGTTGCGATGGATGGTGGGGTTAACAAGGAAGGACAGGGTGAGAAATTAAGAAGTGAGAGGAAGACTCAAGGTGGTAGAAATCACAGAGAAGATGAGAGAGAAAAGGCGTGTGGCTTGGTCATGTGGAGAGACAACAGGAACATTATGTGGGTCAGAAGGTGCAAGTGATGCAAGTGGAAGGAAAGAGATCAAGAGGAAGGCAGAAAAAGAGGTGGGGCGATGTGGTACGATCGGACCATGGTGGCC